CCTGGATATCTGCTTGAATCTGCTTTATGGATTGTATTTGTTTCCTGTGTTGTGCTTCCATAATTTGCTTAAGCTCATTTACTTTTTTTGTCTGTGTCTGCTCTAATGTCACTAAGCATGGTGTGTATTTTGGTAATCTCTGTAATTATTTGAGAGATTATATCTCATTTAATCTTTTCCAGAGCCTCAATTGTTTTGTTGTTTCCACTTCAGAGAGACCTGGTGGGGGGCTTTCAGACTGTCCCATCTCATTGGCCCCTGGGTTAGACTTGTGATTATATAACAAAATGTAAACCAAATCAGATAGGGCCGGGGATTTAGCTCAGTGGCTTAAGCACCTGCCCGGCAAGCATGATGTCATGAGTTTGATTCCTGGTACCATCAAAAAACATAATTATATGCAATATGTAAGTGCATAATGTGTCAATTTTAATTTTAGTGTTAAAATTTAAAATGGATTAAGGAGAAAACAGGGAAGTGGAAGAAGAGAAAGTAAGGCTGGAGGACAAAGGTAGATAATGCCAACTTGGAGAAACTGGTACAGAAGACTCAAGGAAGAAGAGAGGTGGAAGAGATAAAAGGAAGAACAGAACAGAACCACACCCACAAAGAGGTTAGGAACCACTCTTACACTCATAAAAAGAAAACTGAAAGAGAAAGAAAAAACAAAACAAAATAGACAAACAAAAAACTGAAAAAGCAAAAGCAAAACGAATAGTCCACTTCCAGGATTCTCTCTGAGTTCACTAGTTGACAGCTTGTCCAGACAGAGTCCCAAATCATGCAAACCATCCTAGTAAGACAGCAGTTGCTTTATGGTGGAGTAGTGGATAAGCAGGCCTGCCCCGAGACCAGACTCATTGGGCTCGCCATAGACCAAGCAATTTCCACAGATATGTGCTGCATGTCTCTACAGGCGCCTCTGGGGTTGTCAGCCATCACCATCACCCTGTGCATCCCCAGGTTCAAACAGCTCCTCTCGTGCAGTGAGCACAGCTCAGGGAGAAGGTACCTCCAGTTACTGCCTGCTTCTTCATTAAAGTTTTTCTTTTACTCTCTCTGTGGGTTTCAATTTGTACTTCAGATTCTTCCTGAGCCCAGGAGGACTCGCTTCCTTTCTTCCTGTCATCCTCACAATACTATGCTCCAGCATCTGTGGGTCTTCATCTCAACCTAGCAAGCACTCTGTGCCCCTCAAGAGCTGTTTCAGGGCTGTGGTATAAAGTGGGAGTCTGGTGTAGATGGTCTCTGCAGCTTTGACTTCTAGATCAGCCAAGGGCCTCAGCCACACAGGGGTCTCAGCCTTCTCTGTAGGAATCACAGGGCTGCATGCATCAGACCCATCTAGACCAAGGTAACGCCACTGCCTTGGGGGCTTTTTTGCTCCCTTCCTGATGTGCTCAGATATGTCATTAGTCAGGGCCACATCTGTGGGGAGAGTGGAATCTCCCGCCTCAGTCTGTGCATCAGCCTCCTTCCCCAGCAACTCAGGGGCCTGTGGACAGCAAGAGGCGTGGGCCAGACTGCAGCAGTAGAACTGCTCTCTCCATCCACCTCCTTCCATTCTTTAGGACTTACTCTGTGTTCCTCTCTGGCCTAACTCTTACCTTCCCAGAAGGACTGCAGCATCATATGCACAACCACGTGGCCCTCCACCCTCTTAGCTCCTTGATGCTTCACCTCCCAGGCCCAGCTCCTCCATCTACCCTACCGGCCCCCAGCTTGTCATCCTTGCTGTCAGCCACCATCAGTTCCCTTCTGTGACAGTTTCCTGATCCCATGCAGGGTTAGGAGGGGGGATGTTTGCTCTGTGGTCCTCTTGCCTTTGCTGCCTTCACCTGAGATCCACACTGACCGACTTTAGTTACTCTCTTGTCATTTAACATGTCCTTTTGTCCTTCTGCTAAAGTTGCCCAGCAAAGACTTAACCTGGCCTCAGTTAGAGCCTTCTCAAGTCTACACTTGCCCTGCTGAGCTTGGACAGAGAAGAAACCACAGTAAGCAGCATGGGCCCTCTATGTACCTACAACTCGGGCTTCAGTTGGGCCTTTAGGGTTCCTGGGAAACAGAAACCTCCCCACCACGCCCTCAGTAGACTGGGCCCTCCACTCAGACATTCTTTTTTTTAAATTTTTTTTTTGTCTTTTTCTTTTCTTATCGGTACCGGGGATTGAACTCACGACCACACACTCGCAAGGCAGGTGTTTAAGCTGCTGAGCCAAATCCCCAGCCCCACTCAGACATTCTTAAACCTGTCATATCTTAAAACCTTCCTTCAGTCCCACAGAGGTCTCCAGCCTTTCTTTCTTTCTTTCTTTCTTTCTTTCTTTCTTTCTTTCTTTCTTTTTCTTTCTCTTTCTTTCTGTCCCTTCCTTCCTTCTTTCACCTTTCTCTCCTTCTTTTCTCCTCACTCCCCCCCCCTTCTTCTTTTTTGGCACTGGAACTGAACCTAAGGTCTCTGCATGCATGGATCTAGAACTCTAGTCCTTTTTATTTAAGGCTCTTGGTCTGTTTAACCTAATCCTCTAGAACAAAATGTTGGTTATGGGTGTGAGTGGGAGGAGAAATATTGAAATGGTCAGAGTTACAGGAAGTAGGGGACTATATTTTGTGTGTTGGTAGAGTCACTTCATTTTTGTGTTGTTTTTTGAGGGGAATTTATATTTTAAGACAGGGTCTCACTAACTGGTCTAGGCTGGGCTCAAACTTACAAACTTCCTGCTTCAGCCTCCCAAGCCTCTAAGACAACGGGTGTTCATCACTCTACCTGGCTCTTTCTCTTTCTTCAAAGCACTGCTCATTGTATGTACTTCACCTCCTCAAACATCCTTCACTCCAATTTGGTTTCTGTCCCATTGTGCTCCCAGCTCTACATTCACCTGAGTTCATTGATCACTGCTCAGCCCGGCTTCCTGGAAACACTGTCTGAGACACCAATGTCACCATTTCCCACAGAGCTCACAGTCTCAGCCAGCCCTAGGCTCCTCTTCTCTCACAGGCTCCCCCAACCTGTTTCCAGCCCATCCCAGAGTCCTGCAGCTCCTCCTACCACGTATCTCTCTAGTCCAACCTTTCTCAGAGTCTCACTGCTGCTCTTCCTGTGTGTCCACGGCCCCCACTGCAGCTGCCCTGGCTCCAGCTCCTCCAGGTAGCCCCTTGATTCTGCTCAGAGGAGGTGAGTTCACCAGGTGTGAGCTGCACTGGTCAGGTGTGGTAAATGGGCCCAACAGGTGTGGTGGGACTGCAGCTCTCTGTGCCTGAGCTGCTTTGTCTTGCTGGCTATCTGAGTTCTACTTTCAGTGCAGCTGGGATGCTGCTTTTTCCCTCTTAGTCTTGTGAGTCCTCAACTCATGGCTCCTAAACTCCTGACTCCTTCTGAACACCCTGATGTGATTACAATCAGTCTGCACCCCCTGATTGTCTTCCTTGAGGACTGGGATTAAGATCACTTGCTTGCTGCTGTATCCCCAGTGCAGTCTCTGCTTCTTAAATAGACAGTGAAGGGAGGCATCAGTCAGAGGGGGCCTCGTGTTTGTTGCTTTTCTTGCTTGTTTGTCTCTTGGATTTGGAGTTGCTTGGTGTCCACTTTGCTCTGCTTCCAGCCTCACTTTGGGCCTAGGGCAGAGTGTGGAGCGGGGCAGATTCTATTGAGTTAAGAGGGGAGGGGTCAAGGCAGAGCAGAGGGGGCTCGAGGCCGCCAGTCCGCAGACATGCATCTCCTGTGTCTGCGACCCTCTTTGTTTTTCTCACCGCCTTTTTTCGCAAGGGCATGGGTCTGATCTTTGCCTGGCACTGACCCTTGCCCCAGGAGCTCAGGGCTGGATGGAGTGTCTCCTTCACTCCTTCTGCAGTGCCTTCTCAAGTCTTCCACCTCCCTCCACCCTTCCCCAGCTCCAGCAGCCTTGACTTGCCTGAGGCGGTGCGTGGACACTCCCCGCGGTCCAGCCCAGCTCCCCGAAGCGCAGGGCGGCTGGGGAGCACCGCAGTAACCGCAGCCTGCGGACTTCCAGGATCTGGGCCGAGTGGGGCACTGGGGCGCAGGGGCGCGGCGCGGTGGGCCTGAGCTGGGCCCGGAGCAGAGCCCAGAGAGGGGCTGAGCGGGCGCCGGCCGGCAAGAGCAGCCCGGCCCCGCCGGCTCCCGGAGGCGGCTCCCGCAGAGGCGGCGGCGGGATGGAGAGAAGCGCGGGCCCCGCTGCCGCCCACTCGCGCAGCGCCCACTGCCCACCGCGCCCGGAGCCCAGAAGGCGCCTCCGCCCCCAGCTCGCGCCGTCCGCCGTCCTGCTCCCTTTCGCTGCTCTGGGTTCCGCAGTTTGCTAGCTCCCCAGCAAATAACTCCCGCCCGCCCACACGCTCTCCGTGCACTCGCTGGAGCCGAGTCTGGGCAGAGCGCGCTACTCAGGCTAGCCCCGGGGGCTACAGGTGGCACTGGCCCTGCCTTCAGCTTGCGAGTCCCAGTCCGTCCCGAGGGCCCCGGCGCTGTGGGGGCGGGGAGTGTTTCCTGGGATGGGCTTGTCAGCGCCCCTTTGCCAATCAACCCCCTCCAATTCTGCAGTCTGGAAAGGATGTGACCTTGAGCCCCAATGGGTGATTCTATTTCCTGATGGGATTTGTGCTAGTAGCTAGCTAGCGAGTTTGGAGCTTCAAGCCGTGGTGAAGGCTAGGACGGCAGCGTGCCGGCAGAGGCTGGCTCCAGGCTGGACTGTGCAACCGGGAAACCTAGAGGGTGGGGAGGAGTGTGCGGGGTTGGTTTTCTAGGCCTGGAGGTGCCATCAGGAGGGTCTCTCCACCTCCCTTTTCTTTCAATCACACATCTGGTTGTCCCTGTGACAGGTGCCTTCCTCCCCAGTGGCCTTGTGAGTTTCCAGCGTCCACCTGCCGGTGATGCCAGGCTCAAAGACCTCTGCTCCCTGCCCCGTGTTACAGCTGGTGGAGTATTCAGCTTAGCCAACTTCTCACCGCTGGGATAAAATACCTGACACGTACATTTTGAAGGAGGAAAGGTTTATTTGGGTTCAGTGTTCACAAATTTCAGTTCATACTTGGTAGGCTTAAACACAGAAACATTACGGTGGAAGGGCCTGAGTGGCCAAGAGCTGCTCAGGGGGGTGACTAGGAAGCACAGAGCTAAGGGGGAAGTCCCGCATGAGGGCTTCTGGGTCACAATCCCAGCGGCCTGCTGCTTCCTACCACTCACCTGTAACAATAAATCAGCTATGTTGTCCTCCAAAAGCCCAGCCTAAGAGCCCAAGAGGCCTTTTGGGGACATTCACCATCAAAACCCTAGCAGTCCTCCTACAGTTGGGCACAGCCCAACCCAGGTGTCGGATTATGGTTACTGGATAGAACTGATTTCCTTTATGGAACAGACTGCTGGAAGAGCTGGGTCCCTGTCCATACCCTGTACCTATGCAGGGTCACTGGAGGACTTTATAGCCACTCTACCATATCAGCCCTGCCAGCTTGGCTCCCTTCACCTCTTCTCAAAGCCTAAGAGATGAGAGAAGGCAGGGGCCTCAGATGGCCCACTTCTGTGATATGGGGTGGTCAGGGTTGAGGTAGAGATACTCTTGGGGAAATTACACTGGATGTTCACCTGGATATTCACCAGGTTTCAGGAAACCCCCAACAAGGAAAAATGAGGACCCAGAGGCCCAGGCCCCAAGAATTCCCGGCCAGCTTCAAGAGTCCTTTTAACTCAGTTCTTCCCCACTGAATATCTCTTGTTATCTTATATGATCACTCCTTGGTTTATTTTTATCTTATTTTATGTTTTACTTTTAAGACAAGGTGTTACTAAATTTCCCAGGCTGGGCCTGGGCCTGAGCCTGCTTCAGCCTCCTAGAGTGGTAGATTTCAAGGGTGTACCACCATTCTGGGCTCTTTTCTTGTTTTATTCCTCTCTGATCCCTAGTACCTCTTTGTACCTGGCTCTTCAAGCCACTGGGGATGTCATGGTCCTGCTTTGGGCAGACTGTGGCTGAGAGTCGGGATGATGGGGACCCCAGCCCAGCTCAGGCTCACATTCTCCACCCCCACCTCTGCTACCCTCAGGTGTCTCTTAGGGGCACTGAGATAAGGACTAAAAGTGAAATGGAGAAGAAGTTTCCTCATTGGTCAGGAGGAGTCCAAGTTATTTGTTCATGATCTATGGTTGAAGAAAAGGTAGAGGGAAAGGAGATGATACAGAGAGCAGGAAGAAAGGAAGTGGAGACGAAGGGAATTAAGGGAAAGGGAAGCTGATTCTCTCAGGCTAGAGGAAGAACCAGTCTCCTCTACTGCCAGCACTTGTGACATGCAGCCCCTTCTCAATGGCTCTTCTGTGGTCAGGGAGTGAAGCCCTGTGGCCCGTGTGGAGGACAGAACCCTTTGTGCAGAGAGAAAGAGAGGAGACCTGAATGCAAACCTGGCTTCCAACTTGCCCTGGGTGGGCTCAACCGTCCTTGCTCCTGAGAGGTCTTGGCTTTCCCATCTGTACAATGACATGGGTGCTGTCCCTTTGGTTTGGTTTTTCTGCATTCACTGGATGCCTTCTGTGTGTCTGACTCTGCTCCTACTCTCAGGGGAGTCGGTGGATCAGAGCCACTCAGAGGAAAGCCCTGGTACTGTGGGAGCTCAGTGAAGATTAGGGGTGCTTCCACAGAGGACCCGTCTACACTGGTCCTGGGGGAATGAGAGCATTCTAGTTTGTCTTCTGTCAAACCAGGACAGAGGCCACATGGAACAGATGCCTCCACAGAGTATAAGAGTGCTGTGAAGACCAAACAACACCTGGAAGTGCAGGAGAGGAGCAGGGAGCACTGGACGTCCTGGCTCCAAACCCTGTGATAAATGGGCCCTGTGGGACTCTCCAGGAAAGCATAGGAGATTGTTTCTCTCTAAAATTAAGCATTAACATTCACTGAGTGTCCTGGGCTATCATGATGTGTGCTGTCATGTACTAGGGACTGGAAAAGAGGCAACATTCAGTAGTCACTATGTTTAAGTAGACTTAATAATTGCTTTGTGAAAAAGACTTTTGAGCCTCCCTGCCAGCATCAAAAGAGAGGGGACACGGGTTGGTGGAAGAGGACAAAGTGTGTGTGTGTGGTTAGGAGTCTTTGAATAGGGTGGGGGGGTTGACAGGCAGTGGACACAAGCCAAGGCCCAGAAGCTTGTTAAGGAGCTGTGGGAGGGTCGGAGAAGAGAAGCACACTGTGCAAAGCCCTGGGTGCTGTACTCAAATAGCAGGAATCCTGGGACTGGGCTCACCTGGGGAGCCACCTACTCTGACCCCATGCTGGGTCAGCGGCTCACCTTGACTCCTGTCATTTTGTTTGCATTTGTCTGTCTTTGAGTCTTTCCCTTCTGAGCCTCTCAAGGATATGGTTCTTGTGATTCACCATTGCTCAGAGGCTGTCCCTGAAGGATTACCCAGGGTTTGTCGTTTTGAAAGGCATTCTTTCAGCTAGTGAGCTCCCAAGACCCAGAGCCAGGCTGGGGGAATGGGGCTAAAGGACTCAGGGCCTGTAATTAACTTTGGTGGCCAGAGTGAAGCAAGGGACTGAGGGCTCCCTGGTTATAGTCAGCGTTCTGGGCCTCAAATCCAAAGGAATCACTCAGGAGATGAAAAAAGGAGAGAAACTGAGCTGCAGTCTAGAAGAAAGCCAAGTAATGGATGGAAATGTGGGAGCCCCTTGGAGCCTGTAGCAACACCGGTGGGCTGTGTTCTGTAGAGCCTGGATGAAGGCAAGTGCAGGTGTAGTGTCTCCAGGGCACAGCTCTCTGTGGCTCTGACCTTTCAACTAGGATGAGAGGGCTCTGAGACAAGGGTAGCAGGCAGGAATGGCAGGCAGAGCAGGGGCAGCTCCTCAGCCTTCCTCGGTACCCCGGGCTCCTGGCTTCAACTTCTCCAAGGTCCTGCTCACAGTGGACAAGCTGCTGCGGCCCCCTGGGGAGAGAGCAAGACACGTGCTGCCAGGAGTACTTGGGGGTGGAAGAACCCCAAGGGCCCCTGAATCAGTGCCTGGTGACCCAAGGGCAGAGCTGGGATAGATGTTTCAGCCAGCAAGGACCAGATGGCCCATGGAGCAGAGAGCAGCAGAGATGCAAGCAGCTTGAGTGAGTGTTGGTTCCCCCATTCCCTAGCTGTGTGGTCTTGGGTGTACCCCTTAATCTCCTTGTGACTCCTTGCCTCATATAGAAACTGAATCTCATTGCAGTACCTCCCTCATGTGGTAGTTGTGAGAATTGAAGAAGTTAATATATGTAAAGTGCTCTGGACAATGTCTGGGATGGGACCTTCTGCTGAGTACATACTTCAACAGAGACTGTAGGCTTTGGGTCGCTCTGGCCCTAGGATTTTCCAGTGTGTGTGGGATGGGATGGGAGGGGAGAAGATGCTGGGTTTCAAGTATCAGCTCTGAGAGTCAGATTCCACCATGAAGAGGGGAGTAGGGAAAATAAGCTAGGCAATGTGACCTGAGGGAAACCAAGAGATAGTAAGGGGCTCCCTGCCCCAGGGTCCGTTCTGGGCAGGACAAAGGGAGCCACAAGGACAAACAAGAGGAGGCCAGCTCAACCTGGAACAAGGGCTTGACTGGACACAGGGAAGAACCAGCCAGTGATGCCGCTTCCCTGGCTGGGCAGGTTCCTCTGCATGGCCCTCAGAGGCTCTCCTGGGGTGCCCCAAGGCTATCCAACCAGGGAGGAGAGATGAAAGGTGGATTCTAGAATTTCAGGAACTTACCTTCTTTGTTGCTGTTGCTGTTTGATCTTCCCTCCCCATGATCTGGCTCTGGATTAGGGTGAATTCTCAGGCCCCCTGCAGAATGAGACCCCCTGATTGCTAAGCCAAGCCCAAATCAAGCTCTTTTGCCAAAGAACGTCCTTCCTTCTGCCTAATCTCCATTCCCGCTGGTGTTTTCCCACTGCATTCCTTTAAGTCTACTATATGATCTGAGTTGATTTGGGGAGGGGCATAAGAACTTCAAGAGTTCTTGAAGGAGATGGTGGATTTTTAAGGAGACTGAGGTCGTGGAGAGAACTCGGAACACGTAAAGCCCCTTAAGGTTGAGGGAGTGTGGAGTCTGTATGTGGGTTGCTGAGATGAGGTGGGAGCCTTCAGACATCTTGGGGCCCTAGGGGACACAGAAGGTCCTTATGGGGCCTTAAGGACCTGAGGGGGTTATCTGGAGATCTAGGAGGCTGTGGAGGAATGGAAAAGCTGTCAAGGAAAATGGGCTCCCTAGGTTCCAACACCCTTTGCTGCAGGCAATAAGCTGGATTCTGGTACACTGTAGTCATGGCAACGGCTGCACAATCCACATACACAGCAACTCCAGCACACATGTCAAGAGCAGTCTGACACATGGGTCCTCTCAGCACACAGTCACAATATACACAAGGGGGCTTGCACAGTCCTTGGCAGAAGGTTCTGCTGGGGCTCAGGGAGGAGGCTCACTGATGGAACGCAGGATGTGATCCTGGTTGAGCCGAGCCTTCAGGAAGGGGTAGGCAAAGATGAGGAGACCTGAGAAGCACAAAGGGTTTTCTGCGGAAAGGACCTGGTTAGTGTGAGGCGCAGGGGCTGTGAGTGGACTGTGAGCCTGGAGAGTAGCTTATGAGGATGACCTGGGTATGCATGGGAAAAGCCCAAGAGTGCAGAATTGGAACTGTGGGTGTGTAGATGGGAGCCAGTGAGTGTGTACATGGGGCAGCTCCCCAACATCCAGCCTAGGTTGGGGGGCAGTGCTTATCTGTGGCAAGGGTTATAGATGGTGGTATTCACAGGCTCCTGGGTCCACCTAAGCTCAGATGAAGAAGAATTGGCTTTCTGCTATCAGGCCTGGTTGATACAAATACACAGCTCCCCCTTCTCCTCCTTTGACTCTCCAGGGCTGGAGTCAGCGGCTTCTCTGCATGCCCCTCCCCAGCTCCCTCTGGAGTGCAGAGTAGGTTCTGCCCTGCTTACTCCTTCTCCCTCCGGGACCAAGTGCTTGTGCCTGAATTCTGGGTACAGATGCCCAGAGTCACCAGCTTGGTGCTCCATGTTCTGCTTTTGGCCCTGAGGTGGAGTGAAAAATGATGTTCATTGTCACTCTGAGGATGTCGATGAGCCTAACTCAGACAGATAGATGGACAGAGCTACTGCTGAGACAGGAAGAAAAAAAAAAAAGAAACCCTTTATCTGAGCACAGCTGTGCTGTTTTGCTTGTCCCCTCAATCCATCTCAAACACGCTGATGAATCAAGCCTCTAACCAGGAAAACCCAAGAGCCTGGGGCTTGGGGCCAGGAAGCCAGACACAGGCAGCCAGAAAGGAGTGTGACCACCAGCCTCCACCCCATTCCCCTCAACTGGGGGTCCCATCTCCATTCTTCTCTCTTCCCTGTACCCTTGATGGCTACCTTGCACACACTTCCAGCTTCCATTCTCCTCAGCCAATTCCTGTGGATCCAGCTCACCCCACCATTTCTTGCTCACCTGATCAGGCCCCTGTTCCCCACCAAAATCTCCTCCCCACTGCCCCAGCCCAGCCCCTGCTTACCCAGCCCAGCAGCACCAAGGAAGACACCGCCCACAGCAGCTGCGGCCTTGGACACTGAGACGCCAATGATGATGCTGCCGGCCACCAGGCCAAGAGCTACACAGGCCAGCTGCAGACAGTGGAAGTCTCTGCTGTTGATGGGGACATCCATGCAGGCCTACATGGGGGAGGGTCCGTCCTCTTGGATGTCCCCTTGTTGAAGTTCTACCCTTAGAGTGGGTGTTTCTGAGTAAGATTAAGAGTCTAGGCTGGTAACCTTTGGATTTATCTACAACGTCATCCCAAAGCTCTCTTAGGGCTTCCCAGTCTTACCTTGACTTGGGGACACCAGCTCACTCTTAGTCCCACAAAATACACTGGAGCTGGAGGCTGCTCTTGGGACTTTTGCCTGGCCAGATTTCTACTTCAACTGCTAGAGCTCTAGGGAACTGAGCCTGTCCCATGGGATCCTTCCTTCTTTCCAGGAGCAGGGACTGCTTCCTTGCCCAGGACATCCTGACCTGGCTTTCTGGAGCCTGACTGATTTCCACTGAGCCTAGACCTATTAAAGTTTAAAGCACTGAGAGGCGGGGCGGGGCACAGATCCAGGGGACACAGGCTCCTCAGAGATGAGGGAGCAGGAGGTGCTGAGTTATTCATGAAGTTGCAACTCGAGCCATGGCCTGGGTCCTGGAGACTCAATGTGCAGTCACTGGCAGTTCCACTGTTGGTTCCGAACAGGAAGAATGAGCTGGTGGTTTAACATGGGGTCAGAGGACAGGGAGTGGAGGGGACTCTCTGGTTACACACTTGTCTTCTCTCTGCCCTCTGCCCTGGAGAAGCACCTGCAGCTCCTACTTGGAGACTTGGGGGCAGCAACATGGAAGATCTGCACAGGGCTCAGGAGAGAGGAACCGTGAGTGGGTCAGAAGGAGGAGAGAGGGAGGTAACCTTCCAAGTCCATACTCTGCCCCCTTTACCCTGTCACCTTTTGGCAGAGCTGAGGGGTCCTACTTTGAGGCTTGATTTAGGGGACTCCTTTCTCAGGAAGTTGGTACCCGCCCCCTTGAGTGGACCCTTCCTGGCACCCCTGGTGGGAAGTGGACAGGGAACACCAGTGGTAGTGGTGGGTAAGGGGTAGGGATGGGAAGAAGAACTGGAGGCGGTTCTGGATGTCAACAAGGCAGGAATAGGAGGCTGGGAGGCTTTCCAACTTCCTGGATGGAGCAGCCCCATCCAGCCTGACTGACAATGTACTTGCAGGATTCACCCAACTGGAGCCTGGCCAGCAGTAACCCAACCCAGCCCTACCTTGATCTTTGAGCCCTTTGCCGGCCCCCAGCCTCTAATTCCAGCCTTCTTGCATTCTCTGGCTCTTGTCTAGGACAGGGCCTTCACTGTCCTAGAATTCTGTCTGCCCCTTACCTGGGCACATCCCCAGGTCCTATGACCCTGCTTGGAGTCTGGTCACTGGCCCTTGTTAATGCCACCCCTTCTTTTCCTATCATTTCTTCAGCTTCAGCCAGACTCAGGGTCTCCAGCCTCCACCCCTGCTTCTCCCCTCCCAGCCTGCCCTCCCTCCTCTGAGCCTGTTTGCCCGCTGCTGGCCCTCTGAGCTATATCCCCAGCCCTTTCTTCTCCAAACAGCCTGTATGGCCAGCCTGCCTTGGGGCAGCCCTGACCACACCTGGACCAGTGCGTATCCCACCACACGAAGGGCCTGTTCTTTGCCTGCAACTTGTCTGCTTTCTGCAGGATGGCCTGGTCAGAGTGCACAGGAAAGGTTCGCATTGCACATCTAACTTGAGTCAGCAAACAGGAAGCCTAAGGGCACAAGGGAAACTGTCTATTACCAACAATCTTCCCTCCATGTGGAGCAGGGGTTTAAGAAGGCCCCAGGATCACCCAAGGAAGCTTCAGTTGTGGGAAGGCACCACCAGGAAGTCAGAGAGGAGGAAGCCATAGGGCATGGAGGGACCCTGGAGACCCCATAAAGAGGAAGACCCTGGAGCCAGCTGCTCCCTAGTCTCCACTGCCTAACCAATATCCCTTGTGCCTCCTGTCAGGATGAAGTCTGGTTATCCCTCTAATCAGGCATCAAATGACAGCTCATGTGTCTGTCACATGTAACTCAGCCCCCCTGAATTAGTTTTAGAAGGAGCTGCCAAAGTAAGTGTCCAAGAAAATGTGTTTCTCAGAAGTCCTGCTTTGGGAACCCGAGTACCTTCCATAAAGCCATGTCCCTCAACTCCTTTAAGACTCACTCCAAGACTGAGTCTCCCCAGCAAGACAGCAAGACAGGGCCTCCCGGGCCACGCTCTTGATGGCACCTAGACACTTGTACACTGTAAGTATCAGATTCTAGAGCACAACTGGAGACCAAATTCCAAATTAGAAATTTTCCTTGACACTTTAAACCCCTTAAGACAAAGATAGAACTAGGAGAGGGAATGGGGAGGACAGACACCTTGAAGCCAGTATCAGTTATCATGTCTGAACTCCAGACGTTTCAGCTTCATCTTGGAATACGTGGGAAAACCACAACAGGACGGCGGAGGAATTTCCCCAAAGCCTCAACAGAGCCCGTGCCCCTGGGCTTCTGCTCAGCTGAGAAGTTCTCTAGCATGTGCCTCTTCTGAATTTCTACATTGTGAGGTGAGAGGAACTGGCAACCCTACTGTATTAGTCTGTTTTCAGTTGTGGCAAAATACCTCAGGCCAGATACTTTATAAAGAGATGTTTATTTGGTTTATAGTTTTGGTGGTTGAAAGTCCAAGATTGGACAGCCCATCCATTTGGCTCCTGTTAAAGGCCTCCTGGGGGATGGCGTCACATTGGGAGGAGCACGTGTGACTGAGGTCACATGGTGAGATAAGAAGTCGGAAGCAGGAGAGAAGTTAAACTTGCTCTGTAACAACCCAGCCACAAGAGTGCACTCACTCCACAAGATCAGCATTCATTCCTTCCACTGGCAGCATCCCCAGTGCCCTATTACCATGCACTGAACCCCACTTCTTTCTACCACCTCCCAACATCGCCACACCAAGACCCAAGTGCTAACACATGAACCCTTGGGAACACACTCAAGTCATAGCCAAGCCACAGCACTGAGTGTCAGAGGAAGAAACTGTGGTCAAAGGGACTAGTCAAAGAATGTCTTCCTCCAAACCAGACAGTGATATTAAGGGCTTCTGAACCAGCTGTGATGCCCATCCTCCACTGACTGCAAATGTAATTCTTTCCTCCTTAAGAGCTATGTAATCCCTGAAAAAGAAAATATATTTTGGTCTCTACTTTTGTCAAAGTAACAGTTAAGTGAGCCTAGGCACTACAGCCCAAGCCTGATCGGTCTCCAGATCCATCCCAAGCATCAGAGTCCTCCTCCAGGGACCTGAGAACTCCTGGTGCCACAGTGCTCAGAATTCCACTACAGAATCTCTCCTCCTCATCACCTGGACAGGCGAGGGCAGTTACCTGTGCACTTTCCTTTGCAGAAACACCAAGTTCAAATATGGCGTGAGAAGGGGAAGAGTGGGAGAACTGGCTGCAGCTTGATTTGGTTCTGCTTATTTCCCTTGAGGGGTAACAACCAGGGGGAAAAGCGTGATCAGTGCACCAGTCCCTGGGTGACAGGCAGCTTTTCTGGACCACTCAGAAGCTGAAAGCAGGGAAGCAGCTTCCAAGGCAATTGCTTCCGTGGCAACAAGAGTGTCAGCCTTGGGGGGACCTGCCCCCGCTAGGTCTGAAACAGCAGGAGCAGCTGGCATGGGACGGAGGAGGCACTGCTGTCCGTGGAGATGGGTCTGGTGGGCGGCAGTGGGCCAGGAAGGAGGCGGGGCCCAGCACTCAGGTAGGTGAACACATGGAGGCAGAAAGACTTGGTTGCCTCTGTGGCCAGAAGCCTCAGACAGGAGTCCTTGGGGTTTTGACTGAACCAGGACTGGAGCTGAGGCCAAGCCCTTCTAAGTAGATTTGAGGAAAGGGGTTGAGGTGTGAGACACTCCAGCTGGTTGAGACTAGACCTCTCCTAAGGCCTCGTTGGATATGAGCCCTTGCTCTGGCTTTCACCATCTCAAGTCCCATGCTAGATAGGGCTCTTTCATCCCAGAGCCTCTCTCAGTACATCTGCCCTGTCTGCTTGTGCCAGGTGTCCCAGGGCCCCCTGTGGATAGTGGCAGGGGCAGGACTAGAACCCAGGGCCTTTGGTCCACAACCAGGTTCTTTCCCTGGCACCAATTTGCCTCTCTGGGATGGGGTACTCCAGCCCAAAGGGGCAGGGTACCCTATCAGCAAGGGGATCCCACAGAGGGCCCAGGCCTGGCATACCTCAAAATGGCTACCAACTGTACCACACAAGCCCTCCCACAGCAGGCTCTCTGAGCCAAAGGAAAGGGGAAGTTCCCTCCATCCCTGGGACTGTGGGTTGAATAATCCTGCCCCAGGAGTCAAGAGCAAGCAGAACTAAAACTAGCCTAGCTGATAGGTATGGAGCACTTACCATGTGTGCCAGGAACTCTCTCAACATTTTAGACTTATTACTTCATAACATTCCAGCAGGAGACATTCCCATGCATAGCTGAAGGAACTTTCAGAGACTAAGTCACTTGCCCAAGGCCCAAGGTCAGTAATATACTTATGTGGAATTTGAACCTGGGCAGTATTTCCTAGATTACAATTCTGGGCAAATGATTTTTTCCTTTCTCAGCTTGGTTTTTCATGTTAAGTGGAAAAAAATAATGGTATCAACATCATAGAACTGCTTTAAGAAATAATGTCTGTAAACTTCTTAGAAAGCATGGTTGTTTAGTGCACAACAATGCTAGCAAAGCCAGAGTAGGCAAGGTAGTAGCACTTAAGCAGAGCCATGGAGGGGAGAGGGGCCTTGCCATGGCATGCCAGGGATAGTAGGAGGCCGGAGAGCTAGGGTGGGAGAGGGTAAGCAGAGCAAGATGGGGCTGGGGTGGAATACGCTTGAGCCATGAAGTCCCTTGAAATCACATTTCTGTGGCCAACCTAGGGGTGGACTTCTCAGGCAGGGCTGAGCTCCTCTCCTGGTTCGGTATCTCCAGCATCTAGAGAAGCCTTGGGGCTAAGAGGCTTAGGTTCTATAGTCTGATCCTATTTCAGGTAGAGATGCAGGGATATGAAGGTAGTAAGGATCACTGCAAAGGGAAGATTAACAAGAAATGTCACATACATGTGCAGGTACTCAAAGTGTGGGACAGACGGTAGCCAGAGTGAAGTGCCGAGGCCCACCTCCTCTCTGCTTTCGCCAGGGCAAAGAGCTGTTGTCAGCATCCAGTCTACGCCCTGATTCTCAGCCCTCCCTCTTGTCACCTTCTTAGGAACTTACAAAGGTCCTTCAATCTGGCTCTGGGATTTATCACATGGGGTGATGTACATGGGAGTTCCTGCATGGTGTACACGGAGGCTAGGGATAGGAGGCACTGTTTTTCTGTTGCCAACTCTGGCAAGACATGTAGTCCTAGGCATGCAACAGGCCCTTCATAGTGGCTTAGGAATTCCTCAAGTTTTTTCTTGCATGGGATGGGTATGGGGACATCTATTAAAGTACGCTGGGAAGTCTATTGTGTGATGCCTACTTAACACTACCTGTCTCCTGATGGGCAGCCGCTGAAGAGCAAAGGCTGTTTTTTCATTCATCTGAGTCCTGCAGAAGAAATGATGTTTGATGAATTTCATTTCTTCATCTAAAACCAGAAAGGCAACATACATATTGCTTTTGTGTTATCGCATGTGCTGTTATATTTAGGGATCCTGACAAAAGCTCCTTCTCCCGCCTATCTGGGCTCAGTTGCTGTCCAGGAGGCCTGTCTCCTCAGGCTTGCTAGGAAAGAAAGGGCCACCAAATAGGCCACAGCTAAAATCAAAGAGTTTTATTAAAACAAGCAGACTATATGATTAGCATTGAAGTGGCTGAATTGAATACATGTCTGTCTGACATATGCAAAACTATTTTCTTTATAAAACTTGGCAGCTTATTGACAAATGTCTGCCCTTTCACGCTCCCAGACAGTGGGCAGCAAGTTGGTACGACCCAGGCAGTGGGGGCTGCCTCTGATCTGGCTTTGCCTCAGTCACAAAGCTCCATCTATCTGCCCCACATCTGTATCAACCTCCATACAGGGCCCGGAGGACACGGACAGGCTCTAAGGTGCTCCTCAGAGTAACAGCTTAAAAATGAGTCAGGACTGTAGGGAGGAGCTCATTAAAAACCAAGCACATGGACATTCTGCCTTTGAAAGTCCATGGGCAAAAAGGGGAAGCTTAAAATTCCATGTTTGCTGAAAGAGCACAGTTAAAATCATTTTAAAAATCAAATAATACTGACTTTAGCAGCAATCACAAAAACGGAAGAGGATGATAAATGAGGAACACATCGTGGTCGAGGCAAAGAAAGATTATGTGCTCCTCTGTGCCGCAGATGGAAGACTGATCTGGCCTCCTGAAAGAGAAGGGCCCTCTGCCCTCCCTGAATTGAGGAGATAGCTCTGCTCAGAAGGGAGCGGACAGGCAGAGAGGACGTCCAGAGGACAGAGGAAGGTGGAAGGACTGCTGGGGGAGGGCGACTGTATACATGGTGAAGAGGCATGTGTGTCAGCAGCCTCTGTCAGCCCACAGTTCTCTCCCTGAAGGCAGTGGTCCCAGCTGTCGTTTCCAGAGCAGGCTGGATGGGGATCTGCAGGCAGGTGAGCAGGTGGAGCCCCACAAAAAGATGTCCCTGCTGCAGGCGATTATGCAAAGTGACAAGTGATTGCTTTCCTTTCCAAAGACAACCCCTTTGGAAAATGCTTTTTCCTCCAAGGACCCTGGGGAAATGGGGGGGTTGGGTGGGAACTGCAGGGCCTTTGTGGATGGAGAAAGCTTGAGTGGAGCCAGAGAAGGCCTCTCTGTCTACTCTGCCAGCTTTGGCCTCACAGGTTTCTAGGCGGCAGCGACCAGACAGGTTTAGGCTTAACCATGAGTAGAATGGCTCAGAGTTCTGTGGGGGTCAGAGGCAGCCCTGCCTCTCCACCACGGCCTGCTTGGGTCAGGGCCCGCCGGCGGGCCAGGCGAGACTTGGAGGGAGGGGAAAGCTTCATGGAGCACAGGCTCTCAGCCAGCACCTCTGTCTCCTGGGCCAGTTCATTCTCCTCGTGCTGAGACAGCTGGCGGTTAAGAGCAATGGCTTCAGCTGCAAACAGTGTCAGATCCATGGTGCTGCTGTTTCTGCAGAGACAGGAAAGGGTACCAAGAGGGAAGCAGGAGCCCAAGTTAGCTTGGTTTGCTCTGTAACACGCTGCTCCAGCTGGGCGCCATACTCCCCCCGGATTTCCTGAGCTGTGTGGGCTGCTTTCTCCGAAGCAGTTCTTTCCTGGCTTTGGATTTTTGCTTGACTAAAGCTAGAATGGAGTTTCAATCACTAGTCTGGACAGTCAGGTCCTCTCAGAGGACTCTCCACTGGGTTCCATCACTGTGTACATAGCCATTCTGGATCCCAGTGCACTAAGCTCACCTGTGTCCCCTAACCCAAGCCCCAACCCCCAAGCAAAGAAGGGAGCTCCTGGTTCAAGGGCTATGTTGTTTATGTTGGTGTCCCTAGAACTCAGGTCAGGGCTAAAGTGTGGTGGGCACTTTGAATTTATGAAATATGTCACCTGTGGAGGATATTAGATTTGGTGCTTGAGGTTTCTGGAAGTAGCCCCAGAGAATCAGGTAGGATCCTCAGCTGGACATCAGCCCCATCAAGATAATGAATCCAGACCTTGCAGGGTAAGATTTCCCTGTGAAACTTCTAAAAACTGGCCATGTGGCTGAGTCTTAAGGGCGTTTCCCACATGGCTTCCTTTTTTTTTTTTTTTTTTTTTTTTTGGTCTTTTTCCTTTTTATCGGTACCGGGGACCGAACTCATGACTGCTTGCTTGCAAGGCAGGCGCTTATGCCGCTGAGCTAAATCCCCAGCCCCCAACATTGCTTCCTTTGGCTTTATAGGGTAGAGCCTGTTGGAAACATATATATCTGGGTGTTAAAAGGCTCTTACAGTCAAGGGCCAATGTGTAGCCTTTAACAAGTTATCTTGATCTCTCTATTCCTGACTTTTATCATCTATAAAATGAGGAAATCCTCTCTTTAAATTTGAATATTCATCTGCTGCATAATGACCTTTCAGTCAATGACACAAAATATACGATGTTGTTGTCTGTTTTGAGGTGTATGTGATAATTGGTCCCTCTGCCTTACAATGCTGCAGCCCAACTTTAACCAACTGCCCAGTGTGAATAACTCATTAACACGGTATGTCTTTGGGATGTAAATGGTGATTCCCCATGTCAGTCAAGTGGTTATGGAAGGTATCTGCCTGGAAACATGCACTGGAGGACAGGGGAAGCAATCAAGCTGGAGTAAGAGAGATCTACAATGTCAGGAAGAGAGCAAAGGGGTCTGAGGGGATACAGAAGGGGCACGAGAGCTTCTCTGAAGGGACCTGAGACTGGAGGTGGTGTCCTTTGGCCCACCTCTGCCCCAGTGTGGCTGAGGGCTGGAGAGAAAATTAAGGCCATGGAGAGAAAGTGCTGGGTGTACTTGGAGCATTTACCTCTGGAGGACTTGTGGCGTGGGGAGTCCCCTTTCTGGAGCTTGCTAGAATGGAATGACAGACTGTGAATACACTCTGCTCCTTCTTTCCACAGCTGTCCCACCCAAGCAAGCACAAAGTGGGTGCAGATGACAACAGGATCTCCACCCAACACTAGGACCTGGCTCTGCTGGTCTGTAAGGTCAGACTTCCCAAGGAGAAAGCAAGAAAGGCACACTCTGCGGTCACAGTTGCCTCTGGTGTTCTTCGCTTACTAGTATCACATCCAGCTCATGGTCATGCTGCACATCACTCCTTTGTGGCATCACTTACCCCCTGCACCCATGGGTGCTGTAGAACTTGAGCGGCACTGAGTCTCTGCTTGGCATCTCGAACCAGGAGCTTAGAGATGAGATCTTTGGCTTCACTGGAGATGTGAGCCCAGTCCCTGTCAGGGAACTCATACTTGCCTTCCTGGATGCTCTCGAACAGCTTGTTCTAGGTAAAAAGGATTCTTCCTGAAAAACACTGGCCAAGGGAGTGCAGGATGCACCTGTCAATTGTTCTGATCACCCTGGGTCTAATCGACCTCAGCTGCTGCTTGTGGCTGGGGTATGCTACAGATACAGTCCCTTTCTTGACACACTGCATCTCCTTAAATCTCCAAAAGATACAGAATGCCCTTGACAAGTCGAGATAGTTATGTTATTTGGGAGGTTGGTGACAGGCTGCCAATATAGCAAAGCCCACTCCGTGACTTGGCTCCTGGCAATCTTTCAGAGCCGTATCTCGCAATACCATTAAGTGTATCATATTTCTCCCTCCACACAAAAGCATTTGTTTCATGCCTCTGTCTTTGCTGGTGCCATTCCTCCTTATATTTCCTGTCCCTCTTCTCTAGCCAAGACTCATCCTTTTAGAGTCAGCTCAGGTGTGAGTTCCAAATGCCCTCTCTCAAACTTGTAGCTGAACTCAGTGCCTGGACATGAGCTCACGACTGCCCTGAGAGAAGAGGAAGGGGCAGTACACACCTCTATCAGACCAAGAACAATCTCCAACCCAGTACTGGCATCCCACTGACCCGTGCACCGTGGGCCCTGCTCACCTGGCACACCCTGCACACCTCTCCCCGGTCCCAGCCACAGTCAGCCCCGCAGTGACCCACAAAGGGTGGGTAGCCACTCAGCATGATGTAGAGGACCACGCCCAGGCTCCACAGGTCACAGCGCTTGTCGTAGAAAGTGGCCTCATCCCTGAAGACCTCTACCACCTCTGGGGCCATGTACTCCGCGGAACCGCACTGTGGGTACCAAGGATTGGGGAGGGGAAGATGACAGAAAAGAGAAGAGGTGAGTCCCAGGGAGGCAGGATGGCAAAGTGTAGAATGTAATCTGAGCGAGAGGATGAAAGCATGGCATCATCAGGAATGTCAGAGGGATTGCCTGATACCACTGCGGCACTCAGAGAAGCTTAAACTGAGCCCATCACACCCCTTCTCCAGTGGGCAGAGTCTCTCTGTGCCTCTGTAAACAGACCGTGTGTGGTCCAGGGATTTAAATGTATCAGGAATATGGCCTGGGAGGGGATATGGGAAAGCCCACTCCATCCTGCAAAGATTTCTTAAAGTGATTCCTGCTCAGCTTCCCCACTAACTGGGAGCAAGGGAATGATTAAGGTAATGATTTAGAATGAAGAGACCATCTAAATTAGAAGAATTTTGACAAACCCTCCTTCCTCCTCCCTGGCCCAAGAAGGGACAGGGAGTGCAGCAGTAGCAGAATCAGAATGAGGAACCAGGCTCCCTTCTCCCACCCTGCACAGGAAACTGCTGAGAAGAGTAAGACACATCTTATTTGCTGCCCTCTTCATTATTACAGGTGAAGAAACAGCTCGCTACTCTGCGAAGTTAATTTGATTAGAAGATAGTAAGTGCTCTCAAGAAAGGATATTTTCTTTGTTATAAGCAATTAGAGTTAATGATTTTGAGAACAAGGTAGCTTCTCTGTTAGAAACCACTATAGAAACACTTCTAACAAGGTTGCTTAGAAAAAGATGGAATCATTTAAAGACATGTCTTTTATAAAGGATATCAGGAAAATTCACTTATGAAACTTAGAAATCTCAAAAGAGTCAATGTAACTTTACTGTATCAAGTATGTTAAAAAATGTCCTGGGAAGAATTAGCTTCTGGGAGCACCATTTGGCTGTGAAATGTGCAGTGGGAGAAGCAAGAGGTTAACGTGACTAAGCGATCCCACATATGTGGCCAGGAATTTACAATTTCCACCATGGGTACTTCTCTTTCCTCTCCTTCCCACACCACAAGGGGGTTGTGCTGATTCCCAGAGGGAATGGGACCCACAGTTATGCACACTGCTGCACGTGCAACCTGGTGGGGCTAGGGGTAGTGTGTTTTCACTAGAAACCACAGCAGCCCACTGTGAGAGGCCCAGGGCACGCAGACGTACGTACTGGAGTGGTCAGCTCTGGTGTGGTTATGGGGATGCTGGAGTTGTTAAGTTTCATCCCACTGCCCAAGTCAAAGTCACAGATTTTCACTGGAGACACCTGCGAAGGGAAACAGAAAGCAGAGGTCACAGATACGAAAAGCCAGAGGCACCAGGAGACCAGTATAAACAAAGGGGTACATGGGCATATGGCCATCACACTTCAGCTTGACTATCTACCAGTCTCTATGCATCTCCTGGGGTTGAGTAGGAGCCACTTGGGGACTTTTTCCAATGTGTCCTCTGCCTCTGTTCTCTCTTCTTTCCCAGCTGAGAGAAAACCAGGTGAATTACATGGTGTTAGACTGTGGTGAACTCAGTGTAGAACTCCTGACAGTAAACAATGGCATAGGTTACAAGACAAATGCCAGAGAAGTAGCTGGGCATGGTGGCACACACCTGTAATCCTAATACTCAGGAGGCTGAGGCAGAAAGATAGTCACAAGTTCAAAGCCATCCTGGGTTATATAGACAGACCCTGTCTCAAAAAAAAAAAAAGCCAGAAAAGTTAGTACGTACAGTAGTCCCTGACTTGTGAACTAGTTCCATTCCGAGAGAATATCTGTAAGTCAGATTCATTCATGATTTGACAAAGTGAGTCTTACACGGTACATCTGTGACTCTCACACAGTACGACTGTGAAAGTTTGCAACTTTCATGTTTGTAAGCCGGGGACTTACTGCGTCACTGAAACACAGTTGTCTTGCAGTCCATTTAGTGGAAGGCACAGGAGCTTGGGGTAAAACCCTGACCATCTCAGGTGGTTTCGAGTCATCAACAAGTCATGGTTTGCTTGCTGGAACTTGGCTGGTTTAAAAGTCCTAGGGAAGCTGAGCTATTCAGTCAACGTGAACAGCGTGCACTCAGGTGCCAAGCCCAGCGACAGCACAATATATGGCCATGACCACAGCAGGGTGACTTATGTCTGCAGGAGAGAGGGAGGACGATGCAGAAGGTGCTGAGGAAGCTGGCCCAGGGGTCCCCGCTCGCTGCTCACGATCAGGAAGACCTGTGCCACCTTCTAACTTCTCTCCTCCCCCACTCTTTTTCGCATTCTTTTTCATTTAGTTTCTCTTTTCATTGTGGCCAGATGAAAACACAAAATATGTTCTTTTGGCCATTTTCAGATGTACAATTCAGTGGTATTAATTATATTCATGATGTTGTGGCACTATTGCCACTCTTTCCATCACTGAAACTCTTTCCATCACTGAAAACAGAAGCCACACCCCAGGAATAACTTGCCATTTCTGCTCCAGTCCCGGGCCGCTCAGACCTTCTTTATGTTTTTATTCACTGCCTATCTCAGGTATTTCATATAAGTTGAAGCACATAGTATCTATCCTGTGTGCCTTGCTTCTTTCACTTGGCATATTGGTTTCTGGGTCATTTATTTCGAACATGCATCAGTACACGTAGCATGTAACATGCATATTTTCAGGTTGACTAATGCTCTATCGTATGCATGGACTACATTATGTTTACCCATTCACCTAGGTGGACAGCTGGGTTGATTTGCCCTTGTGAATATTATGAAAAACACTATAATGTATTTTAATGGGCAACTAAGTATCTACTTGAGTCCATTTCCAATTCTTTTGGCATGTACCTGGAGTTGCTGGGTCATGCCTGCATTTAGCCTTTTGAGGAATTGCCAAACTGTTTTCCACATTTTACATTCCCACCAGTAATGTGCAAATGTTCTAGTTTCTCCACATCCTCACCAACACCGGTTATTTTCTATTTTTTTTACACCACTTTTTAAAATTTTTTTTTTATCGGTACCGGGAATGGAACTCATGACTGCCTGCTTGCAAGGCAGGTGTTTATGCCGCTGAGCTAAATCCCCAGCCCCTATTTTCTATTTTTAAAAAATTTATAGCCGTCTTTGTGGCTGCATAATGGTATCTTTTTCATTTGTTTGGTTATAAGACTAGGGTTATAGTGCTAGGGTTGAGTTGAACCCAGGTCTTCAGTTGAGCTGCAGCTCTGTCCCTTTTGATTTTTCAAACCTTGAGACAGGCGTCTCACTAAGTTGCCCAAGCTGGGCTTGAACTCACCCTGCCGCAGCACCTCAGAGTGCTGGTATATAGGCATCTGTGGCTTACCTCTGGTTTCGATTTTTCCCTAATGACTAAGAACTGAAAGTCTTCTCACATGTTTGTTAACCATCTGTACGTCTTCTTGTTGTTGAATTTTAGGAGTTCTTTGTTTTTTTTAGGTATCATACCCTTATAGATATATGATTTGAAAACACTTTCTCCCACTGTGAAGGTTGTATTTTTGCTTATTTTTAGTTTTTCCAATCATAAAAAGGGGGTAATAAACCTGTACTATGAAGAGCAAATGAAGTAAAGGACATGCAAATTCCTTGTAAATCAGAGGCAATGATGGGTAGTTCAGAGGCCTGGTGCAGTGTGGGGTCAGCCACCTTAGTTTTAATCTAGACTCTTCCACTCACCAAGGACTAACTTTATGTAAGTTTCTCAACTTCTCTGAGCCTCTGTTTCCTCATTTATAAGATGAAGATAACAATAGAACCTTCTTCCAAATAAATCTATAAATATTAAATAGGCATATAAGTCCCTGTGGTGTAAGCACTTCAGAAATGTTAACTGTAATTATTTATAATAATCATAATAATGAAGAATTACAAATTTGTATGGCAGAACCATGGACAGGTAGTCAAAAGATCTTACCTGAGCTAACACATAGTTATTCCCCCTCAAAGAGCTATATACACCAGGCTGACTCATGTTTCACTTGTAGTCATGCCTTATGCATGAGCCACAGCTTCACCCACGCCAAGACATGTAGCTCTAGCCTATGCACGTTTATAGACACACATAGGAGCCATGGATATGGGCCACCAATACTACTGGGCTAAATCTCTCCTAACAAACACAGAATTTACCGATTTAATACCCTGTGATGGGAATGCAAACACTTCCATTTATAGTAAAATGGGTTAAGGCAGTGTTTAAAATAGGTTGCATTTGATCAACATCACATGTAAATGTTTTCTCTTTAATGGGCACTTTTGGAAATAGAACTGGAAACTGAAGCACTTCTCAAGAACTTGCTTCCTAATTATTACTTCTTTGCTGGGTGTGATGGCACACTCTGTGATCCCAGCACCCAGGAGGCTGAGGCAAGAGGATCGCCATGAGTTTGAGGCCAGCCTGATCTTCATAGGGAACTCAAGGCCAGCCTGAGCTACACAGTGAGACCTTGTCTCAAACAAAACAAAACAAAAACAAAACAAAAGCCCCTAATTATTTCTTCTTCTTTTAGTGGTACTATGGATTGAATACAGGGCCTCAAGCAGGTTAGGCAAGCACTGAGCTACATTCCCAGTCCTTTCTAAATTTGATTTTGAGACAGAGTATCACTACCTTACCCAGGCTGGCCTCAAATTTGTGATCCTCCAGGCTCAGCTTCCTGAGTAGCTGAGATTATAAGCACACCAGGGTTTTAATTATTACTTCTAATGGTAGGTACCACCTAGCCTACATACCACACCACAAATATCATTTGTGGGCAGAGATGTGCCCATGTATGACTGAGTTGTCTCTGACTCTCAGCTACTCTAACGGAAGGTATACAGGACCTGTGTAGGTCTCAGATATTTTATAAGATGTATGCTTAAGCCAATCATATTAATGACAAAGCAAAGACAACGACAAAACTAACCCTATTTGGAATGCTGAAACGTTATATATTAGGCATGGCATTCTCATGTGTCCATGATAATCAGTTGTAGTTAGTACCTGAGGCTGAGGGAATTGCTAACGATCTACTGCATGCTGAGATCAGGGTGGCTTTCCTGATCAGTATGAACTAGAATATCCCAAAGCAGGCCATTAGTACCTTTTCTGGAGATTCACACAATATGTTTTCTGGCTTCAGATCACGGTGAGCAATTCCTGAAATGACCAACAGCAAAGAAGTGGTTAACATATGCACATAATTATCAAACATTCCACACACAATTAATTTTTTCCAAATGCTGTTGTTCGCAGATTAATTCCCAATTATGGTACATTAAAAAATCAACGAGCTGCAGGAGGCAGAAGTAACCAGAGACATAAACCAAAGCACAGTTGATTTTGCAAGTTCTTTTGAAGCAGAGACGTTAGAAGTCTGGCAGGGATAAGAAGGCCTAAATGAATCCCAGCCAGCCTACCTTTCAGCACTGTGGTGACAACCAAGAATTCTTATTGTGCAGCCTAATATAAAGCAGAACAGAGCTCTGCAAATGGCAATACTTGGAACAGCAATGCACAAATAATTAGAGTCTTATTTAAGAGCATCTCAGGGGGCTTAGAATGCTCTACCTCATTTCTTCCTGTGTAGCTGATTAGAAAAAAATTTTCCTTCAGTGGGGCTCCCTCAAATTTCTCCAAGCCTGCCTGCCTTTTTCTCACCTCTGCAAGGACATCCCTGGCCTAAAGGTGCTGTTCTTCAGAGAGGACACCTCTGCATTTTGGCTAGGCCTCCTTAACTGATGAGGGGTTAAAAACTGCTGACCTGGCCAGAAGGTGTCTAGGGGGAAAACCATCTTATTTGTTTTGTTTCCTATGATACTGGGGACTGAACCCAGGGCTTCACAACTCCTAGGCAAGCACTTTGCCATTATACTACACCCCAGATCTTTGAAAAATTTATTTTGAGACAAAATAAAAGTGCTAAGTTGCCCATGTTATTCTGAACTTGTGGCCTTCCTTCAACCTGAGTAGCTGGGGTTACAGGCATGGGCCAACAGTGCTAGGTGAAAGCCATCTTCTAACCGAAACAAAGGGACAAAGAGCAAATAGGGAGGGCCATGGTGCTCCAGAGAAGAACACAGAAACCAACCTTTCTCCCTTCCTTTTTTCTTCCCTGCCCTCTCTTCCCTTCTCTCCCTCCATCCATCCATGCCATGCACAGAACAGAGACAAAAAAGAAAGTCTGGTAGCTTGAACAAGAATCCACGTCAAAGACTGAAAAGTAGCAGAGGATTCTTGGGGATAATGAAGAGGCAAGATCTGCCCTAAACTCACTGGATGATCAACTTTTTAGGCAGCCCTCTAATTCCCTACTGGAATGCACAGCACAGGCCTGGCTCACCTGAGGCTCTTTACTAGCAAAGGAAAAGCTGAGCTCTGGCAAGCTAAGTAACATCATCAGTCACCTAATTGAATGAGAACCCAGAGCAACCCAGTTCAGCCTGTGCAAATTGAGTCAGGCTCATGCTCAGCACACTAAAAGTGAAGGATATTTTCCATTATGGCAAGTGCTCCCACAGAAGGATCATGAGCCGCACATGGAGCCTTACTCGTTGAATAGGTGCCCATGGCCCACTCGTCCTTCAGTGTGAGAACTCAGAGAGCCAGGCTGTAATAATGGACCTGCCTGTATGAGTCACCAGCCATCGAGCTGTGCCAGTTCATTTCCCAGAGGTTAAGCCACAGTGTGTCCAGTATTTAAAAGTATGGAACTTGTTTCAGGGCTGGCCCATTCTTACCCAATTCATCTTCCCAGCATGAAGTTATTTAGAAAACAGCCAAGTTTGGCTGGAAATCGTTTTTCATACCCTCAGCTCTGAATCACATGGGCAGCTGGCCAGCTAGATGTGAACAAGCACTTCAGAACTCCTAAAACCACCCGCCTCCATTCCCTTTAGTGTAGTCTTGTAAATAAATAAATAAATAAATAACAAAACCACCTCTACCCCTCCTCCAAGGTATGGCTCTTGTAAAAAGCATGACCCAGTTTTGCAATCTATAGAGGCAGCTTGGGGAGCAGTTGTAAATCTCTGTCACGTAGGTGTTACCTACATGCATCCCAGCTTTCAGAAACAGAACTGCTGCTATTCATCATGCTGAGGAAAGTCAGACCACCCCCTGCCAGGAATTTTCATCCTAGGTGCAAGTCAGAGTCCCACCATGGACAGTGCCAGTTTGCAGACCTCTGTCAACCACTGGAGAAGGCCAGGTGGGATCTGTGACCCTCCACACACCAGGCACAGCAGCTGCACTATGTCGGGGCACCTTATGGGTGTGCTTGCAGCTCATCTGCAGTTGTGCCTGAGCTCCACAACCAGGGAGCCCAGTCAGCAACCACAGGCATGAAGTAGGGGAGCCAGGTCATGGATTCTTGGCTGACCTCCACCTCCACCAGGTAGAATGCTTTCCTCAAGGAATTAATATTAGGGGGAAAAATGCTTTCTGTCTGGTGGAGGATGAAGATGGAGGAAATAACATTTCATGAGAATCTAGTATGTGCCAGGAACTAAACTATGCTCCACCTATTTTATATATATATGTATATAAAATGTGTGTACTATATACACATATGTACATATATATTTTACATAGAGAAGATGTACAAAACTACATAAATGAACTCATACAAATAAAAGGCCTAGAACAGTACCTAGCACATACCAATTGCCATGGACTACTACAGATGATATTATCATCTCTCCTAATCTTTAGCATAGCTCTATGGCTAGCTCTTTTCACTGAAAGCGCACAGTTGGAAGAGAAACGAAGCCAGAACTCATTTTTTCTATAACACTGCTATTGGAAAATTTGAGAAACTTCAAATGGTACAACATATTTACAGAACTGTTAAAACAATTTGCAAAAAGACTTGATTTACTACAAAAGTTCCTGAATTATTAGTTCTAGGAAAGGGAGTGTAAGCAAAGTATAACTCAGACAACAGCAACATACTAGTTACCACTGTGATGTTCAACAGATACTTCAAACTGTCATATGAACAGAAAAATATATTTTTCATTTACTGTAAACAACATATATAAAAGCATATATATATATATATATATATAGTACCAATTTTTAAGAAAGAGACATAGGTGATGTATTTTGAAAAACTAAAAGGAATGTTAAAATATTTATAAGAAAGCCAGGCGTGGTGGAACACGCCTATAATCTCAAGTCTTGGCTGAGGCAGGAGAAATGCTGCAAGTTCCAGGCCAGCCTGGGCTACAAAGTGAGTTCAAGGTGACCCTGAACTACATGGTGAAACCTGTCTCAAAAAGACAAAATACTTACATGAGAATGGTTGTTATCATGCATGATTTTTATGTTTTTCATCAGGAAAAGGGCATGATCTACACACTCAGGCAGGTATACTTACCTTGTTTAATATGAAATTCATTCTTTTTCCTCCCACTTTCTCCTTTATCCCAATCCTATTTAAGAGGATTTCTCCATCACCTCTCCATCATCCATAACAGAAGCCTATGAGCCATGCTGGACTGACCCTGCCTCTCAAGCTGTTTGCTAACCATCTCCAGAGCAAGCCCCCTGCAGGCCTCCTCCCTCCTATGGTACCCAGAGGCTGGCCAGCCTGACCCACTGACCCAGGGGTGGCTTGGCTCACCTTTGGTGTGCAGGAAGTCAAGAGCAGCAGCAACGTCTCGCACCACTTGGCTGGCGTCTCGTTCATTGAAGTGCTTCTGCTTCTGGATGTGGGCTAGGATGGAGCCTGAGGAGCAGAGGGGACAAAGGAGGATCACCTTTGCAGGCTCTAATGAGCACTACTTCTTAGAAGCCAAGTTTTCACAAGTTTGAGGTGGTGACATGGGCTGACTCAAATGCTAAATGTCAGCACCAAGTGTGCTGCCTGGAACTAGCATATGTCTACTGAATAAACTTAGACTGCTACCCTCTGTGCCTGTCTATGAGGAGCTCAGGAGTGGCAGAGACCAATTATTTACATGGCCAAAAAATTAGTGATCTAGGAATTATTTGGCTTCTGAAATCAAAAGGAACTGGAAGTGAATACACATGGGGCTGAGAGGACTTGAGACATTTGCTCTTCTGCATTTAGACTTAGACCCAAGTAAGAGCACAAGTGGAAACACCAGATCCTCTCTAGATGAAAAAAGGGGTCAGCTGCTTTACCTCTTGAAGTTTGTCTTATGTTGTTACTACTTTTCTGGGAATAGCTAACATTTATTGTTTAGTTACTATGTGCCAGGCACTATGAAGTGCTCTTTAAACAAATTATCTTACTCTCACAAAGGTATAAAATGGGCAGTATAGTTGTCCTCATTTTATAAATGGGGAACTTCATGCCAAAAATGGTTAAGCACTTGCTTCAGACATTACCCCATTAAGTTATGGAATCAAGATTTTTAGGTGTAATACATCTGGTCCCCAAACCTGTGCAGACTTCTCAGCTGAACCTGCTGGAGGGATAGACTACTCTAAGCCTTGTGCTCCCTCTTTACCCCTTGGGTCTGGCTTCAGTGGAGCTACACTCTAAGCATTATATAAAGGCTACAGAGGACCCAGCTGCTTGTAGCATTCCAGACATGTAATTCTGAGTCCTGATGTGCAGTGATGGCAGGGTGGGGTCAAACACACACATAAGCATACAGCTTGGCTTCATGGGACCACACTGACTACTGAAAGCCAGTATTTCTGGGCTGAAGGTGTCATTTCTGTGTCCTAGAAGTGGCCTGTGCTTGTTATTTCTGGGTATGTATATATGTATGCATTTTTGGTATGGGGAGGGAATGAGAGAAGGCAGGAAAGAACTACTAAAGATCTTTCACTTGATTAAACAAAGGATCCCAGTGTGGTAGGGAACATTTCCAAAAAATCCATCTTCTGGTTCTGCTTTAGCTTGCCCCACTTCAGGGAGCCTCTTGCTTCTAAATTTGTTAAAAGGGAAGGCAGAGAGTAACATATGTACTTCTAAGGCAGCCCCAGCTTCCAGTTGTTTTAACATTAGCAGCTAGTATTGAGCTCTTAGTGCACACCAGACATACAGCTAAGTGTTTCGTGGCAATTAATTTAAGCTATTTAGCAATCTCATGAAGTAGGTGCCATCATTGTCCCTACCCTACAGATGAAAATACTGCTTGGAAAAGGGAAAGAGATTTGCAGAAGGTCACAAGGCTGGAAGTAATAGAGCCAGACTAAAGCTTAGCTTTGTTGGTTTCCAAAGCATGCATCCTTGACCCCAAGCCCCAGTGTGCCCTTCCACTCAGCTCTGTGTATCCCTGCACCCTGTAACCTTTATCTTGAAAATAGGTCCTAGGGTCAGGGGAGGCTTGGGGAGTAAAGAGCACCTCTGTCTCCTTTACTATGTCACAAGAACGAACTGAAAACACATGTCCTAGTGATACCTGTGTGGGTGACAGCAGTATAGGAGCAGGCAAGTGTAGTGCCCTTCCACTTAAAGGAAGGATGTAGCATTTCAGACATGTAATTCTGACCTTACCCTCCCCTCTATCCTGGGTCTGTCCCAAACAATGGGGTCCCCTTCTCCTCTGTTTAGCCTTCCTGGACTTAATAATGTAAGCCAGAGCTTCCACCCCATAATTAATTTAGTTAAATAGTAAATGTGTCAAAACAGGGATAAATTGATCACTAAAAGTATCTATATATGACTCATATAATGAAAAAGCATTTACAGAATGCCGAACAGGCAACATTCTAAGCTCTGTGAAATGCTAATTAACATCCATTCCTTCAGCCTTCCCTATCCCAAATCAAGGGCAACTTTTAAGTCCTTCATCCTTTTATTAGCTTGACTTGTTTTAGAAGTCTCTGGGATTCATGATGGATGATCACCACCCTTGGTCTTAATTGGAAGTCCAAACACATACTCAACAGGAAGTACCTCCTTGCAATTTCTCAAAGACCAAGTAAAACCTTGTGTCATCTTCAAAGAACTCAATCAGCTCCAAAATGTTCCTTAAATGGGGAAAAATAGGAGGAGAGGGAAGGGGGGAATATTATATATTAAAGTTTATTTATAAATATACAAAAACCCCCACAATACCCTGTAGTGTGGCAGAAATCAACTTGAAATCAAAATGCTTATTAAAATCCCATGTTTGAGAAGCAGCCAATGGTGTTAGCAAGATTCAGGTCACCTTATCTTTCCATAATGTTTAGTCTCTGGTGTTTTCACCAAGTCTGGCTGTCAAACCCCAACCCTAAAACCCACTAGGTAGAGTTATAAAAAAGTCCCGGTCACATTAAACTGAATAAAATCTGCAGCCGACTGGAAGCAATTGCGGCTAATAACAGTGAATAGTAGGTGTGTGTCCTGGAGGCAAGCAGCAAATAATTACTTGCCCTCCCTCTTGCCCATAAATCACGGGGCAGTATTTACATTGCCTGGAGAAAATGGAAACATCTGTCAAATAGACTTGGGGCCTAACATGGGCACTGCTAGACCCTAACTGCTAAACGCTGCTTAATGAAACGGCTGCGTTCCTGGCCACTGTAGCACTTGTGGCCTTCCCCGGTGAGCACTCTCTGTCTGCCGGAGTATTGCTGTGCTCAGCCAACAAGGTCGTCTTGTAACTCAGTAGGGAAGCCACCAACCTGGATACTGGAGGTGTTGGGATTTTTTTTCTTTGAAAGAATGAAATAAACCAAGTAGAGTCTCTAATGCTGAACTAAGAAGCTGCAGGGCTGAAAATAAAAATCTGTCCTTCATAAAAAAATGCTGGCCACTTTGGGAGACACTACACTTTTACTAGTGTGAAGGCGTCCAAATAAGATGGCCAAAATGGCCTAATTTGAAAGAAGATTGTAGAGGCAGTGCCTGGAGTTAAATCAACAGCAGCCCCCTTCCTCCAAGCTTAATGACAAAGCCATCAATACCAGGCTACTGGCTCCCTGCTGACCCTGCCATGAAGGGAGAGAGATGGGGAAGCAAGTCGTGGGGGTGACCCTGATTTAAAGCCACCATGGGAGTGCCACTCATTTGGAGCGGCCTTAGTGGAGACTGAGGTTACTGTGGCCCAGTCACCAAGCAAGGAGCATCGGATCTGCTTCAGGACCTGAGCGGCATCCGTGCACATGGAAATATGCTAGGACAGAAAACAGCAGTGAATATTCTTAACACTTCTTGCACTCATCACAGTACTAAAACAGCTCTAAAGATTTCTACCAGTCAGCTGGCCAGGCTTCCACAGGCACTTGAAAGAAACGGAACCTCAGTTTCCCCAGCCACTGATTCCTATTACTCCCCTAACTTGAGGGACTGCTGATATTTTAGTGCTTCAGCTAAAGAGGAGATGGCTTCTTGGGGTTACTGCCGCTTTCCCTCCCTCCTTCCTTACCTCTTTCCCTCTCTTGTTGACAGATGGAAGGACTTACTTGCAGTTGTGGGGAAGGAATGAGAGCCAAGTGCTGGGGTCAGGGGATGGTACGAAGTCTTTCTGCGGCCACACATCCCCCAGAGAAGCATCGAGTCACCCACACTCACTTGTTTCCTTGACACTGATAAAGCGTCTCCACCTCTCGGAACACCCGACTCCGACTGTGCCCTGCTTGTTTTTCTATGATCTGTGGGAAGAATAAAGTATCATGTACATCACCTTTGCAAAACAGTCGCTTGGCAGGAGCTTCCTGGAAGAAGACAAGGTGAACACAGTCCAAATCCAGTTTCCATGGAATGGGCCATGGTGACACAGGCACTGTGGTTCTTTCAGCAAAGCAGTAGCCTGGCCCAAGAGCTTTCAGTATGGCTGAGCCTCTGGCCACACATGACACCAAGGTCTCTAGGTGGCTGCTCTGGGGAGACAAGGGGAGCCAGACTGACATAGAACTAGCTCTGCTCAGCTCCTCTTGCCTTACAGGTAAGAAGTGAAGGTCTCACAGAAGGGTCTTAAGGTGAGAGAGGACACAGGAGGAACCAAAGCCTTCAGGCCAAGCTCAGATGCCACTCTGAAGACCCTCGAGGCCGAAGTGTCCGCTTGTTCCTCTGAGCACTCACTCTTTGACAGGGCCTGTCTTAAGTAATGTATATATTTAATCTCAGTTAACCCTTACAAAAGGGATCAAAGATAGGAAAGTATAAAACATTCTGCCCACAGCCCAGGGCTGACCTTAAAGGCCTCACTGTCCCATCCCTGTGCCTAGCCTAGACAGATTCTCCCAGCGCCTGGAGGCTTCTCTCGTGCGAACCAGTGGCTTGCTCCCTCCACACCTCTCGCTGAGGTTCTTGGTAAACGCACGAGCCCATAGTGGAGTGGGTGATTTTCAGTAGACCCAGATTACTCTGCAAGCTCTGTGGTCCCACCAGACCGTTCCTATCGAAGCTTGTAGACAAGCTTTCTGCAGACCTGTACTCGGTCCTGGCCCTGCTTGATGATGATGTCGCACTCTTCCCTTCCAGTAATGCTGGGCACAACACCTCAGAAGTCTCTAGTATGCTGCAGCACATACTGAACTGCAAGTTGTTAAATAAGCCCACATCTATTAGTAAACCACCCTGGGTCCATTTTCTGACAACAGGCAATGAGGTCCAGTGCTGGGGAACTATGAGCATTCAGCATCATACACCAAGCAATTTGGGTCAAAATGAGGGGCAATTTTGCAGCAAGCAGGCTTTCCAGCAACAGCACTGTTTTTCTCAGAGGAGGTAACAGGCTCTGACCACTAGAGATGGAGAATAGAATATGGACAACTATTTGGGAAGAAAATCTTAGAGAAAATCTGGATCAGATTATCTGGACATTGCATTCTGACCCTAAGGTCCATCAGCTGGACACCTGTAGGGAAAGTGGTAATAAGTCAAGTCTTGTGGAGCCATGCAAGGAGAAGCAGCCCATCTTTAGGGGGCTTCCAGAAAGAAGAGGTGACACAAAACATTGGCAGTGCTGAAACCAAGGCTCTACCAATCCACGGGAACATGGAATAAGGGCCAGGCTGTCCTCTTGTGATCCGACCTGGGAGAACGGATCTGTCATTTATCAATGTATCAAAACTTTTGACAATCAATTTACATTTGTGGTTTTTACCACAGTAGGCATACTTTTAAAGAAATTACTTGGCCAGGAATATGGCTCAGTGGCACAGCAGCTGCCTGGCAAGCACAAGGTCCTGAGTTCAATTCCCAGAATGCTCCTCCCTCAAAACAACAACAAAAATAACAACAAATAAATGACTTATAATTTATACCAGTCTTTCTAAAAGGAATGGGGGTGGCTCTCTTGGTATCATGTTTCTGAGGCTGTAGGAAGATGGGGATAAAGAGATGTCTCTTTCAGAGCCATCTGGCTGGGTTCCCTGGGAAGAGGACTGGGAAGCAGCCAGTATTATCTTAAGCACTTTACATATTAACTTATTTATCTCCCACAACAATTACATGTAGTCTCTATTATTATAACCATTTCACAGATGAGGAAACCAAAAGAAGAACAGCTGGGGAACTTGCCTGATGAAAAAAACCAAGATCTGAATCTGGTAAACACAGCTTGAGAGCCGAGGTTCTTCCTGAGCAACTATACTATAGGATGTGAAATATATTTAGTTTACAACAAGCTGTAAATGACTATGTACAACATCCAGAAGGGACACTCACTTTGACAGCATACTCTTGGCCAGTCTGCAGGCTCACAGCACCTTGAACTTTGGCATAGGCTCCCTCTCCCAGCAACTCAGAGGTCAGCTTGTACATATCTAGGGATGAAATGGGGGAGAGGAATAACAAAACACGTCAGCCTGCTGCAAGCTCAGGAGGGAAGAGTTCCTGTTGCTCAACTTCCCCAATCTGACCAGCCCGAGAACCAGGCACATGTTGACTCTGGAGGGCTCAGTGACGAGGAAGATGTATAGTTTCCCCAGTCACAGCAGGTCTCAGTTTCTCAACCGAGGCCAGATGTAAGCATCCTGTTCCTCATTTCAGAGATCAAGTCAGAGAAAGGGTTTCAATTCAGCACCTCTTTCCTGAGTACCTACTATGTGCCTGACAGCATAACAAAGACATTGTGAGGAATAAAATAGAGTCTTATCGCACTGAGGTTCTCAGTCCAGTGTGAAGACAGACAGATAACCTATTGGCCCCAGAATAAAACAGGAACTGCTAAGTACCATCAGAGATCACAGAGGAATAAGACAATTTTTAAAAATGGCTCAGGAAAGGGGAAATCTGGAGAACCCAGGGAGCCTCACAAAAGAGATCAAATTTGAATGAACATCATTCATTAATTCACTTATTTCCTGAGCAGCTACAATGTGCCAAGTTTGTGCTGAGCAGAGGTGATGCAAAGGGGAAATAAGCACTGTTTCATTTTATATCAGGCACAGTGGAGGTGATTGGAGGTTTCTAAGAAGTTTCCAGAAGTTCCCCACAGGAAAACAGACATAGAAGTAGGATGTGAATGATGTGCTGAGCTTTTAGGTAATGAGTCAGAGCAGCTGTACCACAGCAATAGGCCTGGAGTGAAAGAACGTTGGGATGACCTGCTCTCACAGAGAGCACAAGCTGACCTCATCTGCCATTGACCTTCACTCCTCAGCTTTTCCTCTTGATGCAGCTTAGTCTTAAACCCCTACACTGAGCAGAAGACTAAACTGTGACAGAGATCTTCTTACTCTTAGTCATGAGAAATTGGTGACTGTGTAAGCTTTCCTTAAACAACAGGAGGTACTCTCCTGTGTTCACCAAGAGTGCAAAAGACTTGTAGACTTGTAACCTATTCTAAAACCCTGGGGAATTTTGCCTATTAACTCCTAGTCCTAGTCTACCCTCCATATATATATACAGTTCTCTGCTTTTGAGTTAAGGACAAGCAAACAAACAAACCCTTGCACTAAGTACTTCCTTGGTTCTACCATGGTTGGTCTCGAAGCTATGTGAATAGATGGCACAGTGTTGTTCGTATTTTAAACGACATGTTTCTCTCAAGGTGCATGCACATTCATGTTAATCCTTTACACTTATCAAGATGTTCAGTGGTTGGAATTCAATATTCCTGATGCACAAAGTGCTTGTTGTCAGAACCTCTGGTGTGCCTACAAGGTCAGGCAAAGGGCTCATGAGGGGAAGATACTTCAGGTCTTCAGAACAACACAACACAGGTAAAGGGGACATGTTACTCCTAGAAGTTGCTACTGATCCTCTGGGTCCTCAACAGAGGTTCCAGCAGAGTGTCACGTCACCCCACCGTAACCCCTATATCACCCCGTGATAACAACTTGAGCACTGAGTTGCATGCCACATGCATGGAGTACCCCAGAATGTCACACCACTTCACATCACCCTTCCACAGGGAGTCAGACACTTACAGCACAAGAAGCTTTGATCTCTAGGAGTCCAATCCTCCCCTTAGCTAGGCCTGCAGTGTCATCTGCAGCCTCAGCCCTCGGTGTTTCTCACTTCCTCTTATGTGGTTGTTCTCCTCTCAGCAGCCTTTCCAGGAACTGCTGTGGTAAGGCTCACATCTGACAAGGTGCCAGGACACACGAGGCAATTCACTTACAGCTCTGACATATTGGTCTTCCTTTCCACTGAGGAGTACTTGACAGCCAGGGGAGGCCAGCATGTAGACCAGGAACTGTGCCCATCCCCAGCCCTGTCACTGCTGTGTAAACTTGCTCCCTTCTGAGATGCAGCATCCAGTTACTTGCAACTACAGGTGCCACTGCTTAGACAGCCATTGGCTCACAGCTGTGAGGGCTGTGGGAGTAACAGACCTTCAAACCTTCCTGGCAAGGAGTCGGTGTCTCGGGCTTTCCGCTTCTTCTTCCTCCTCTTGTGGCCGTCTGTGATGGGAAGGGGCTCACTGCTGCCCATCTCTGGAAGACAAGAGGAGATATGAGGGAAACAGCAATGTACTGACTAAGCCATACGTTCACCCGGAAGGAGAAAAACAGGACGGGGGGGGGGAGCCCAGGAGCTTTACGCTGATGGTTTTTAAATATCTGTGAGGACTATTGATTTGTTTTGACCCAGGAGGCAAAACTAAAGGCAAAACCATTATAGGAGATCATTAACTGAGGAAAAGAACTCAGACAGGAAGGCTAGATTATAAGAGGATAGCAGAAGCCTGTTTTAATCAAGCTCATTAGAACATGAGATTTAGATCTGCCACCAGTCAAAACACATCCCCCAAACACCACAAAGAATCCACGAACAGAGTGCCATCTGCAGCAGCCCCAAACCTCAGTGCCAGAAAGGCAGGACCCAGGGAGCTAGGCCAGAGAGAGGGTGCAAGAGGAGCTCATGTAGATGAAATCAGAAGCTCTGTAACTTCCCTAAAGATAGAGGTCTCTCACTGGGTGTGATGGCACATGCCTGTAATCACAGCACTCAGGAGGCTAAGGCGGGAAGACTGCTACTAGTTCAAGGCCAGCTTGGGCTACACAGTGAGGCTCTGTCTCAAAAAATTAAAAAGAGAAAGAAAGAAAGAAAGAAAGAATTAATATATACAGGCCTCCCTTGGTGTTGCCCTAGGGAAGGTAATGAGAGGGCTGATTACGGAGCTGATCGTAGCCCGCGTTTCTTCATGCCTAGGAGCACAGACTTGAGTGCCACTGCAGCCTGCAGCACTATCTCCTTCTCCCACACCTTCCTTGGAGGGGTGTGATGAATACCCATTTTGAAGCCTCCTTAGTGACAGGTCTGTGCCAGGCTGCCAGATGAGGTCAGTTAGTGTGAAAACATTATTCTCTCTTCTTGGCAGGCACCTGGCTCCCCTGTGAAAGGGAGGCAGACAGACACTGGATTGAATGGGCAGGAAAAGGTCAGGACAGTAAGGAGATGCAGGAGACCAAAACAAGGAAAGAGAAAAGGAGCCAGTGCCCAATCACACTTCTGTTTCTAGGCCATTCTAGTAGGAGCCTTCCTCTGTTAAAGATAAATTACTTACAGAACATGTCATGCCCCTGATCCAGAGTGGAGCCTTAATACTCTTTGCCTGCAGTTAGAAATAATAAGATTTCTCTGAAGTCTCTGCTTCTAAATCCCCACCAGAGTGATTAAACCTTTTACATCCTTCTAAAATAGAGGCACTCGAGTGCTGATGGGGCACACAGTATGAGAGACTTTTAGATCAGCCTTCAATAAACACAGGCTCTAGGTTGCTGGACTTCTTTTTTTTCCTTTTCTGAGATATTTTAAAATAGAAGCTGGCTCTTGCCTACTGAGGCCACTTCGTTCTCAAAGGATCCAGCTGAACATGAACAGAAAAATGGCAGTTGGGCCCAGAAAGTTGATTAATGTCAATGCCGGTCTGCTTGCTGTTCTCAGGGTGAGCACACTGCAGCCACTAGGAGTAGGAGGAAGCACACAGAGTGCACCTTCAACACCACCAAGGAGAACGCACAGTTCTGCAGACAAGGGCCTGACATCTCAGTTTGGTGCATTCTTCCATTTCTGGAATCTGTGACAGCTGATATTCAATTATACTTTAGGGTAGAGAGCAGATAATCAACAGATAAAAAGAATCCACAGAGGACCTAAATCCAACAATTTTAAGCTCAAGTTACATATGGGGACAGCAATATCCTATGAATTCAAAGAATTAAACATTGGCACTGAAATGCCCACCTTTGCCAAGGTGAATCAGAAGGAAAAATGTTCTCCCTGTGCATTTGTTGAGCACAATGAGAAACTGTACAGAAATCAAATGTAAACTCACTCTTCTCCAGGAGCTTGAAAGGGAACACTGGCCATGGGACAACAGACTGGGAAGGAATGAACCCTGCCCCTTTGGCCCTGACCTTGCATGCAGTCTAGCGCCCACCCTTGTGCCAGCTATTTTTTTTTTATCAGTGCTGCAAACCAAGTGTGGGGCTTTGCTTCTTCTCCCTCCCAGGCCCACACTGTGGTGGGGGCCTGCAGACAAGCGAACAGGCCAATAGGCAGGTGGTGCAGAGCAGCAGCAGGAGAGCTGGCAGCATTGTGACTCACAGAGGCTGCTCAACTATACTTATGGCTCTACTAGAAAATCTGTTAGCGACAGTCCATACTTGCTCTTCACCACCGTATGGCTACGTAGCCTCTTGCAGAAGCAGCATAGCTCTGGGCACCGCCAAACACTCAGTATTAGGTTTTATGGTTTCACACACAAAAGACAGAGTACCTGGTCTATTCTGCATGGATCTCAATGGAAGAGGAGACACCGGAGGGACAAATGGTTAAGTCTGCCCTTGTAAAAAGAACTTGAAAGAAAGTTGTTTTTGAAACTAGAAGAGAAAAATGCAGAAAGAGTGAAGTGAAAGAAACAAGTTTAACTTCCCTACTTTCACAGGTAGAGCGAGGTAGCACAATTTCACCAAGGGGTTGCCAGTCCCTCCTCTGGGGGTAGGCCACAGAGAGTGACCTTATGCAGTGACCTAAGGCAAGTGGGCCCTTAACTCAGTATGCATGTAATCATTGGACAAATGCTTCCCCGGCAGAAATTCCCACAGTCAAGCTGCACTGGGGCTCACCTGCTGCCCCTAGCGTAAGAGGAGTTCTTGGCCATCAAAACCAGTTTAAAAGCCCTTGTCTCTCTGGAACAAGGGGAACCCTACCCTGTACTCCCAATAATTGCAAATGAGCTGGAGCTTATGCTCAGTCTTCTGCTCTCAAGCCTCCTGTGAGGAGCTCTGTTATAGTGCTTGTTTTATTTGGCTCTAAATGTGGTACGTTCCTTGTGTTCTTAAGGCCAAGGTTCTGTCTTTCAATAAGTCATGGCACAAAATGTCAGATATAGATGAGCCCTCAGAAACCATGCACTGAGATGGAAACAACATGAAAGGATACACATAGAAAGTATTAAGCAAATGGGCCCTGTAGGTACCCAGTTACTCTGAAGGAAATGTGGGTACACCTGTGCCCCACAGAAAATGGGGGGGGGGGAGCTATTCTCATCTATGAATTTGGCTCAGGAATTCTAGCCATTAATTCTCTGCCATACTCCCTCTCCAAAGGCCCTGTGACTAAGGGTCCTTAAGTTTCTAGCTGGAAGTCTGGTTCTTGCCATGGGACTGGGTGATGTATCTGTTATTTTAGAGAAGTAAGCACTTCTCAGCTTTCAGATAGATCCAGCTGATCTGGAGGCTCCCAGCACTGCTGCTGTCTCTAGGCTCTGCCCTTCTTTCGAGCAGGTCTGGAGGCCTGTACTATGTTCCTGGTGCAGGTGGAGGTGATGAGAAAGCACACTGCTGAGAGGGAAAACACATGGGCTTGATCAGGACACCAACGTGGAGATTCTAGTTCAGATACCACCACACTGCATCAAGGCCAAGTTACTTTTTGTCTTGCAGAATCTCAGCTTCTTCCATCTAGAGAACAGATTTAAAAATATGCCTGCCCTGTCTACTTGCCCTGTCCACCTCACAGGGTTGCTATAAGCACTCAATGGTATACTTAATATAAATGTGCTTCAAAAAACAAGTGTATGCGAAGGCACGTATGTGTGTGAACACACAAGAAAGTGAAAAGTCTGGACAGAAATACACAGAACTGTCAATACCACTATCTTTCAAAGAGTGCCAGTGAGGTGCCAGGCACTGAGCTGGGTATAAATGTATGTCTAATTCTTTGTTGTTGTTGTTGTTGTTGTTGTTGTTTGTCTTTTTTGTTTTTATCGGTACCAGGGATTGAACTCATGACTGCATACTTGCAAGGCTGGTGCTTATGCTGTTGAGCTAAATCCCCAGCCCATACGTCTAATTCTTACAATATCAAAAGATAAATGTTATACCATATTTCAGGCAGGGAAACACTTTCAGAGCAGATAGCTGGTAACCTATTAAATGCCAAACATCTAATTAACAGCTTCCCTAAGATTTAAACTCAATGCTGCCATTTCAAATCCAGGCTACCTCTAACCTACAGTAGTGTTCTCTGTGTGATTTGTCTTTTCCAAATTTTTTAGTATTCTACAAATTGTATACAATGAAATGCATTATTCTTATGCTATTGTTATTTAAATAAAAATTTATGCTAATGAAGTACACAATTTTTCTTTACTATACACTAGAATTTAGAACCTAATTATGATTTTGAAATTGTATTTTTTTCTGTACTGAAATTCAATATTCAATGATGTAAAAGTATTATAGAATGTGGTACCTTAAAGATATAAATTTACAACTGTGAAAAACACAAATGTTTATTTTTTTGAAATGCTATTCCTTTGTCTTTTGTTTTTGAGAAAGGATCTTATTATATAGTCCAGGTTGGCCTCGAACTTGCTATACAGCCCAGGGTGGTCTCTAACTGCTTCAGCCTCCTGAATGTTGGGGCCATATGGGTGTGGCACTAGCTTGGCTAAAATGCTACTTTTCTTTTTTCCTTTTTATCAGGACCGGGGACCGAACTCATGACTGCCTGCTTGCAAGGCAGGTGCTTATGCCACTGAGCTAAATCCCCAGCCCCTAAAATGCTACTTTTAAAGAACTATTTTACAAAAACAATTATCATGTAGGGTATAATGAGCATGCCTGTAATTATAGCCACTTGGGAAGCTAAGTAAGGAAGATCACAAGTTTAAAACTACCTGGGAAACCTAGAAAGACCCTGTCTTAAAATTAAAAAAAGGTTTAAAAAAAGTAGAGTACTTGCCTATCACAAGATCCTACGTTTAGTCCCAGTACTACAAAACAGCCGCAAAAAGCCCCAAGTGTTGGAGCTGAAAGCTGTGGCTCCCAACTCCTGCCAGCCCCTGGCAAGATGCCTGGCTCCTTGCTATGGCAGATTTTGGGTAAGAGTAAGGCTGGGCTGCCTGCATCGCAAGACTGCTATGAGGATCAAACAGACTGTATGTGGAAGCATCACTAACTTATTCACTCAACCAATATCATATTTATTAGGCAACTACTGATCCAACTAGAAAGGAAGAATGTAAGAGACACAGCCTCCCTTGTTGTGGAATTTAAATCTCCTGACATAAAACAATTTCAATATAGGATAAGTATTATGATAGAGAAATAACAGGTGCTGTGAAATGGAGAAGACGCTAACTCAGGTGGGTAATTAGAGGATAACAAAGCTCAGCCAGCACTGGAATGTAAGTGGCAGCTGCCCAAGGTAGGCCTCAGGGAAAATTCCTACTCTGAAGAGTGAGTCCCACAGAAGACATGGCATAGCTGGTGTGGGCCACCACCCACTGAGCAGCTGGCTGGGGCACAAAGTAGATGGGGAAGTTATGACTGATTGGATCATGAGCAGTTTCAGCATCTCAATAACAACTAATGTTTCTATTCTTAGGTTTCTCTGCTTATCTTGGTTTCTTTGATAGGACAGTGATGCATGTTTTGTTTCTTTGAGAAACTTGTTAGCCAACAAGTCTGACTATATTGGAAATGTAACAAGTGTTAGAATATAGATCCAACACTCAACCTGGCACCTGCACAGGGAGTATCCTAGAGCACTCAGAGAGATGGGAGGGGTCAAGGTGGCCCAGGGGACTGGGATGAACCATAATAGCAACAGGTGCCAAGAACTGCTCTCCCCCACAGATGACCTCAAGTCCACCTTATGAAGAACAGTGTCATTTCTCTGGAAAGCCTGATGCACACTGTCTCCTGAGCCATTAACTGCATACTTTGATAGAATCTGTGCTGTCACATCTGGAGTGCGCTACAGAAGGGGGTCTTCTGGCTAACTTGGCTCTGCAAATGGCTCCTGCTCCCTCCATCTATCCACTCCTGAGCTCTTTCAAGGTCCCAACTTGCCCAAGCACTTCCTTTATCCACAAGGCTCTCTAGAGAAGTAACTGTGGAGATTCAAGCCATAGACTTAGCTGCCTTCTCAGGCATCATCCATTTGAGGGACCCAAACAAATGGAGAGCTGAGACAACTGAAGGACTGGAGTGTGGTATAGTGGTGGAGTGCTAGCATGCACGAGGCCCAAAAACAAAAAAGGAAAACTGAGGAACCACAAGAAATAGGACAAATATTCTAGGAAGAGGCCAAGACTAAGCCACACGAGACAGGAGGTAACGTGCAGGGCCGGGGAAATTGACTCAGAGTGGTCATGACTTTGAAGAGGCAGCACAGGCATGCAGCTCACTCCCACTAGGAAAACGTACAGTGCACACCTTTTGTGGGGTTCACCACCATGTTTGAGGTGCTTGATAGATACTACCCTTGACATGCTGTCCTTGTTTAATCTTCACAACTCTCTGAGGTAAGCACAGTTACTGTTCATATTTTGCAGATGGAAAAGCCCAGGTACAAAGAGGAAATGATTTGACCACGGTCACGTAGCTAGTAAATAAAAGACTGGGATTTCAATCTAGACAGTCTCGCTCAGAATTCAAGCTCATTACACTATACTTAAACATTAATGTTGAGGGGCTGGGGATTTAGCTCAGCGGCATAAGCACCTGCCTTGCAAGCAGGCGGTCGTGAGTTTAATCCCCGGTACCGATAAAAAGGAAAAAGACAAAAAACAAAAACAAAAACAAAACATTAATGTTGAAAAGGGCAGGTAGGTGTAGCCAGGAACCACTAAGAGTGTTGCTGTTTACACACCTTGGTGCCCAGCTTCCCACCTCATGCAGGGACCAGATGCTGTTGCCTCCTCAATCCTCCAGTGACCTGGGCCACTGTTTACACAGGTGTACTGGACGCTACTGTTCCCTCCCATGTGCTGTGATGTCAGAAGCACTGCTTTAGCTTCTGTAAATAAAGGGGCACGATCATCGCATCCTTGCTATTATACTACTTTAAAGTTTCATCTATCAGAAGTTTCTTTTTGCTCTGAGGTATCTTTGTATTCTATGCTTTGTTGTATTATAAGGATGAACTACAAACCAAAGCCTGGGTATCAGGTACAAGTCTATAATCATCTGCCTGACCTGGTAGTTGGCTGATGTGGTTTCTGATATTACTAAACAGGGAATGAGGAAAGGGCACACTCAAGAGGAAGACGGTCAAATTCAGTACACCATAGATGCAAGGAACTCCAGGGGATCGGCTCAGAGGACAGTGAGTGAGATCCCACACGGCTGAAGTATTCTTTCTCTAGAGTCCTGTGGATGGGAAGGCTTGGCCGCCTCAGGCAGACTGCACTAAAGCTGGAAGGGAGCCCTGCTTGGGGCCAGCAAGGTGATCCACAGTAGGCTTCAAACAGGGCTGGGACAGGGACAGTCCTACAGCCAAAGGTCTAGATTCAGGCCCATTTTCCCCTTTGCTGATTCTGGGGTCACAGCCTTCAGGCTGTGTGCGTCTCCTAGTGGAAAGAATGACAAGAGTTAAGGGCAGAGAAGGTGGAAAGGAGTGCGTGCTTATGGAACAGCAAGCAGGCAGGGGTGAAAGACTTGGGTGAGGAACAGTGAAGACTAAGAAAGGCAGGCTGCAGTGGGTCACCCAAGCTTATTAATCTGGCCTACTTCAGAACCTGTCCTCACATTTCTTCTATGCTCAACAACCGACTCACCCTTTCAAAACAGCAGCTCATTCAGTTTACAGATCTAACAGTCCCTGAAGTGCTTTTCCTTGGGGCCACTACTGTGCCCTGATATGCAGTAAAAATGTGTTGTGTACTTACTGGAGATATAGCTCAGTGACAGATCACTTTCCTGGCGTGTGTGAAGCCCTGGGTCTAATTATTTAGCAGCACACACACACATACACACACACATGCAGTGTACTCAAGGACAGAAATTCAATACAATTAATAGTTTTTGCTTTATCATCAAGGACATTCTTAAGTGAAAATGACACTTTTAAAAATGTGAGCATGCAATAGTGAAGCACCAAATGGTCACTGGCACAGTTCAGTGTCACTAACTTCAACAGCAGCTCCTCCCTGTCACTTTGCAACAACAAATACTATTTTAATATTGCTATGAATATCCTTTGTGAAGCTCTGCTCTAGGCAAGGGGGAGCTACAGCAGAACCAGGTGCAGGCTGGGGGGACATGACGGGATAAGGGAGGCTGCTGCAGCAGACTGGGAGGAGGTAAGGAAGGGCAGCAAGAAGGCAGAGAAAGGCAAGGTCTGCTGCAGTGGGAGGGAGGACACTACAGAGGTACAATGCATCTTCCCAGAGCCAGTGACTAGAGGTGGAGATGGAATCAAAGGCTACACTCTCCTTCCGAGAACAGATAGTGTCTTATTCTTCTTTATCTCCATTGCCTAGAATGAAGCCAGGCAGAGGTGAGCCTCAGCATACATTCATACATATATGCTTTTTTTTTTCTCCAAGAGTAACTTATATGCTTTTTAAAGCCAAACATAGCGGTATACGCCTATAATCCTAGCCCTGGAATTGAAGAAAGTTCAAGGTCAGTCTGTAGTACATAGTGAAACCCTGTGTCAAAAACAACCCCAAACCCAAAATGCTTTTTAACCAAAATCAGGTTATAAGAACACAGTGCCATCTGAGAAGGGGAGAACTCAGGAAGGGGAGCTATGTTCGGGTGAAGAGCAGAAGAAGACTGGTGTTACGAGGAAGCTTCAGAAGTAAGCAATGCCACATGGCAGCCAGGGACTGTGAAAACTCACAGACAAGGCTAAAATCATCTCACCCAGTGATCACTATCACCCAGCCAAATCTATAAATAACTTATAATTAGCCAGACATGACAAAATCTCAGATTAAAATGGAACACAGAATGCTTTAAAATATCATTATGGGCCACACGTGGTGGCGCATGCCTGTAATCCCAGCACTCAGGAGGCTGAGGCAGGAGGACTGCCGTGAGTTTGAGGTCAGCCTGAGCTACACAGTGTGTTCAAGGCCAGAGTGAGCTATATAGTGAGACCCTGTCACAAACAAACAAACAAACAACAGCAACAAAAACATTATATATGTCATATGTAAGTTAAAAAGGAATCGGAAGTGATACATCCCAGATTATTAACAATGGTTCCTTGGGGAGAATGTGATGGGTTTCTGCAAGAATTTCTTTTTTTGGTAGTGGAGAATGAACTGAAGCTACATGCCCAGCTCTTTTTATTTTGCAGTAAGGTCTTGCAGGCTGGGCATGAACTAGATTCTCTTGCGTTTCCCTCTAAGAATGCTGGCATGTGTGCCACCATGCCTAACTTTAATTCTACTTTTTAACATTTCTGTTGTATTGATTTACTTTTACAATCAAAAGTAAGTAAATATATCAGTGCATATTTCCTTATGTCCCGTGGTCATTTTTTTCTGGAAGAAATGTGCCTCCTCCTGATGAGCACCGTAGGCTGCTCAGCTAAGTACGGCTGCTCAACTAAACCCTGAAAACCCAGCACTCAGGAGGCTGAGGGATGAGGATTGCTGAGAGTTGAGGCCAGTCTACACCCCATAGTGAGACCTTACCTCAAAACTAAGAAATCAATCAACCAACCGACTCATCCTGAAAACCACTAACAGCTTAGGTGACTGTAGGTCCACACCTTTCTCTGGAAATAGCACATATTTTCAATTTGAAGTAACCTAAAAGGATAAGTAAAATGTACATCCAATCTTACCTATAGGTTTCTGTGAACTTGGAATTCCAAGGCAAATAATGCTGCTGTCAGGGGTTGGTGTCTTACAGCCGCAGGCAGTGTTCACTGGCTACTGTGCTCAGCAGCTCCTTCAATTCTCTATCTGCTTCTGCTTCATCTTACTTGGCATGAAAACCTTCAAGAAGCTGAAGTAGAAAGGACATCAAAATGCTGACTTCTCTAAGAGGACCCAGAGAAGACAGAGATCTACCGTGCCCCCAGTCCTGTAAGTTATACCAGAAAGTAGAAATGCACATGGAATCCACAGATGATCCCAGGATTTAAAATCAGACAGCTCAGTCTCTGCAAAGGCTGACCCTAAGCACTGAAGATTTAATGAGGGCTTGATTAAGATTTTTCAGATTCAGTTTCCACTGTGGAGCTTCATACCCTGAAAGATCTAACTGAGCCAGGGTGAAAGCAATAGACCCCTCTGTCAGTCTGAGGAATCTTGTGCAAAATGGAAAAGCTTACAGTTCTCTGCGGCCCACTTTTTAGTGGTGAATGGGCTCTGGTTCCACCTCCTAGTGGCCAGGCCTGATCTTCAGTCAAGAGGTCATACTGCCAGAAAGATAAAGCAGATGCTGAGAGCAGCAGGAGGCAACAGTGGAAAGTCTTGTCCCAAATGCATAAATACTGCCAGTTTTCAATGTGATGCCTTCATTTTCTGTATGTCCGCTGCTATTTTTAATCCTGTGACTACAGCTATCACGTGCCAAAGTTGCTTTGTCAACTTCTTCTCTATTAAATAAATATGTACTTCCTCTCTTCCCAGGAGAAAAGATCCAAAATTGTAGCTTAAATTTGAATTCTTGGCTTTTGTGATGGAAGCTGGATGTGTTTCAACATTATCTCAAGCCACATGTCTCAAAGTAGACCTGTCCCCTGCCCTACCCACAGCTTCCTTCCTCTTGATTTCTTCTCTATCAGATTGCATCATCCTGCCAGTCACCAGCCACAGTAGCCTTTAAATTATTTCCAATATTTCTCTTCTATCTATATAAGTTCCCCATGTTGACACTATCAGGATTTCCCTTAATCTTGTATAGTTCCTCGAAAAATAACTCCTATTGGTCCCTTGAGGCCCATCACTAATTACTAATTCTTCAAGTTCTGGAAGCATTCTTAACTTTCTTTCTACTTCATTGTGCATCTCATCAAGCCCACAGTTCTCCTTTGTAACCAGAGGAGGCTATACAGCTGCTCATGTGGCCCTCCTACCAGGCCATAAGCTCCTCAAAGATATGGACTCACATTCTTCATCTCTGTAGATCTGGCAATTGACAAAATATCTGGCACTAAAAAAGGGCTCCAGTGAAGCTGAATGAATGACTTCACCCACAGTATCCTTTTATTGTCCATCAGTGGACAGTCTTGCCTACTACATTTTTTATTCCTAGACAAATCTCTGAGACTCAATAACACTGCTTCCAAAGCCCAAGGAAACTTAGCCCTTTCTTCTGCTGCGACACTGCCAGGGACAGCTGTAACATCTCTGAACTCTGGGCCTTTAATCTTGACACAGTGTTGTTGGTGTTTTTTTTTTTTTTTTTTTTCTTCTTTCTTTCTTTTTGGTTACAGGGATGAAACTCATGACCTTGTGCTTGCCAGGCAGGTGCTTATGCCACTGAGCTAAATCCCCGGTCCAGCTGTTGTTTTTTGAGACAGGGTCTTGTCATGTACTTCAGGTTGGCCTTGAACTCACTAGGTAGCCCAGGCTGGCCTCGAACTCACAGTGATTCTTCAATTGTGGCCAAACATTGGGAAAGCTGGGACAGAAGAATTGCTGTGGGTTGGAGGCCCAGCCTGAACTACCTGGCAAGACCCTGTCTTGAAGGAAAAAAAAAAAAGGAATTAAGAGGTCATATGTAACCTTTAGAGCAAAAAAAACCTCCGAAAAATAAGGGATCCCTCACACTACCTTCAAGATGGACAACAGTAGGGCACCAAAAAGACTACTACTTACAGAATTTCTTTTTTTTTTTTTTTTTGTCTTTTTTTGAGACGAGGTCTCGTTATGCAGTTCAGGCTGGCCTTGAGCTCACTTTACAGCCCAGGCTGGTCTCGAACTCACAATAATCCTCCCACCTCAGCCTCCCAAGTGCTGGGATTATAGGCATGAACCACCACACCCGGCTACTTACAAAATTTCTATCTATGGTCCAAAGATTTGGACCTCCATTTCCTTGATGCAAAATCTCTAATGGGTATGGAAAAACAAAGCTCCTGTATGGTTACAAATGGTCTCCCCAGTGTTGCCCAGCCCAGCTTCCTGCTTTCCAGTCCCTTTCTGAGCCTACACCTATACTCCAGCTACAAGCCTGGAGTACCTGATGGCCCTAAACAATTTCCAGCTTCTCCCACACATGCATGACTGAATCACACTGTGACATTTCATTACATATCTCATCCTAAAGTCCAGTGTGGTAGTACATGCCTGTAGTACCAGCACTTGGGAGGCTGAGGCAGGAGGAGTGCTATGAGTTCAAGGCCAGCCATGGCTACACAGTAAGATCCTGTCTCAAAACAAAATGAAATGAAATGAAACACAAGACAGAACATCCTAGACAGAGTTAAGGATGGGGTGAATACTATGTCTAAGTCAGCTCTGACCCCCCTACATTTAGTTCAGGGTCTGGCACAGGGCAAATGCTTCCTTATATTAACGAATGAATATATTCTCTGAAGTTTTTTGCTCTTAAATTATTTTGGTTGTACCCTTATTTTAGCAGACTGAGCACAGGAAGTAGAAAACCCAAAGAGAAAGAAAAGAAGCATAACCAATGTGATCCAAGCAATGGAAAATCAGTTTTATGGGCAAGGAGAAAGCAGCCCCAGCTGTTTAGCCCAGAGAAGAGAAAATGAGGTCTAACTGGATTTCAATTTTAAGTAGAGTAAAGGTTCTCATGAGAAAATCTTGATCTCATCCTCCCTTCATTATCAGAAGAAACTTTTCCATATTCATGGAAAACAGAACAATAAAAACTGGCTTAAGTTAAGGTCAAAAGGGCTTAAACTGGAGAGAAAGAAGAACCGAATTAACACCCCTTTTCCAGAGGTACTGCATTTTTGTTCTCTTTGGCAGCTCTGGAGGGGCCTTGTTTAGCCCTTTAGCTGATGGCTGTGCAAAAGGAAATGAATACATGGCTCTGGTCTTGATTACTGCAAAAAGAAGCAGAGGAATCACAAGTCAGGTAAGATTTTCTAACAAGCCACTGACTTTTTATTGACCTTTTTCCTGCAGGCACTTTTGTCATGTCAGGATTTGTAACCCTGTGATCAACTAATCTAGTATTTCCAAGTTTTCTGCTGGTGCAATGGAAAGAGAGAAGATAATAATGCCAGAGTGATCCAGGCATGGTGGTACATGGCTGAATCCCAGCACCCCAGAGGTTGAGGTAGAATTACTGAGTTTGAGGCTAGCAGAGCTACAGGGAGAGGCCCTGTCTCACACAACACAACACAACACAACAAACAAAACAATGTCAGAGTGAGAGAGTTGGGAAAAATGGTCCTAACAAATGTAGTTTCTATAGAAATACTACCAGACTGGGCATAAATATACTGGCCAGTATTATTATTAAAGCTAACATTCATTGAGCACCTACTACATGCCAGGTATACTGCTGGTTAGTAGGTTATCTCAGTTCTCTTAAGAACTCACAAGGAGAAACTGAGACTAAGTAAGGTTAAGTGACTAGCCTGATTCACACAGTTAGCCAGCGACAGAGGCAGGATTCAAATACAGACAGTTTGGTTCTACTCCATAGCCAACCTACTGTCTCTTTATTTGGGTTGAAAAGCTGAAACTTGAACCCTAGTCTCTCTGAATCCAGGTTCATATTCTGTTTTACTCCCTTAAACTTCCCCAAGTCTGAAAGAGAAAAGCAACACATGACACTGGCAAGAGACAAACCCTCAGAAGAGAACCCACATCCCATACTACGTTGGGGAAGGAAGCTGAGACCAAGGACTCACAGATAAGGAACAGCAGACCAAGCCTTGAATGCCAGCCTTCTGTCTCACTTGTAGGGTTCCTTCCTCTGTTATGGGTTCTGGTTGAATCTGATGCAACCAGATGTGTTGGATGGGCTGTCTCCCTAGAAGACACTCCACAGTGAACTGCCAATCACATATCAGAACTTGTGCCTGAGATACAAAGGAGCCTAAAGCTTTTGTGAACTCATCCCAAAAGCCTACAAGTTAAAAGTGGCAGTGAACTGACCAGTGGCACTGCAGGGGCTGCCAAGATGCTCACCTATTCACCCAAGGGAACAGATCCGGGCTCTGGAAGCTTCCATACTGGGTGAATGGTGCACAGTTTGAAGCCTCCTCACTGGTATCCCTATTCTGGGAGCTTCTCTGCTCCCATCAGTCTCCATCTTGTGGTCACAGAAAAGGGAGCTCTGGTCATGGGCCATTAGGTCTGCAGCACAGGGGAAAGATCATGTGCTTTTAGGCTCAAGCTTCCTGTGCCACTTGCTAGATATCTGACCTTAGAGAAGTCACTTTAATCTTTCTGAGGTCATCTTTAAATTGAGGATAAGTATCCCTATACTACATGGATTGGAAAGATTAAACAAATTATAGTGGATAAAACATGTTGTAAGCTACAAAGCAAGGAGACATTTGATAAATGTTAATGTTCTCCCCAGTTTTTTGGATTTTGTCCACGATTACTATTCCAGTGTATTTCCCCTCCTCACCAACTTCTCTTCCCTCCCCACTACACACACACACACACACACACACACACACATGTCTTCCTCTAGATCACTGTTTATGTTGCTCTCTTCCTCACAAATGTATTCTTGCCAAGGCCCAGCATAAATTCTTCCCATCAAGAATCTTCTGATCACATTGGGATTGATTTTTCCTTCTTCCAAACTCCCACTTTGTTTATATTCCTTAGTATATTTACCATAGTGAGTCTGATATCAGTTATTTATGTATTTATCTATCTTTCTAACTACACTGGAAGGAGAAAGCTTGGAGAAGACCATTTCTTATAGAAGGGCAAGAAATGTGCTGTCTTTGGTGTGAATTTCTCAGTACCATGGGCTTGTATGCAGCAACAGCTTAGTAAGTATTTATAGATTTGAATTTTTCCATCCTAGAGTAGGAATCATTATAGAAACATCTAGAACTAAGTTCCTCCCCTGCAAAAAACTATGTATTTAATAAAGAGGCAACTTTTGAAATATATTCCTATTCCTAAACTAGGATCCACAAGTACTAAGGTGTACTTGTGTTATTCCTTCCACCATTCTACCAACATAACCTGTACTCCTCTCTGGACATCTCTCCAGCATGCAGGGAGACACCGCTAGGAAGATGTCTGTCCATCATAGAAGAAGGGGGATCTGGGAGCAAGTTCTTTGAAGAACTGTTCCATTCCAGTGGGTAGAGGTGACTACAATTAAAACCATAGTAAAGGATTTACATAGTTTAGGATTTAGATCATTTAGAGATCTAAACGATTTCTATCTGCTTCTAAGTCTATAAAATTGTTTAAATTGTTGAAAACAGTATCCATCACTCAATAATTATTAGATATTATATTAACAATATAGACCCAGGCATACTGGTACATGTCCTAGCTACTCAGGAGGCTGAGGCAGAAGGATCTTTTGAACACAGAGAAATGGAGGCCAGCTGGGAAAACATAGGACTCTGTCTCAAAAATTTATAATAAATAATTTAAAAATTATTTTAAAAAGTAACAGGTTGAATTTGGGTATAGTGGTGTACACCTGTAATCCCAGCGCTTGGGAGACTGACACAGGAAGACTGCCATGAGTTCAAGGTCAGCCTGGGCTACATAGTGAACTGAAGGCTGGCCTAAACTACACAGTGACACCCTGTCTCAAACAAAACAAAAACCAAAACAAAACAGCTAGAAAAAGTCAGGAGACCGCACTTCCAAAACTCTCTCTCCCCTTGCCTGATTCTTGTGTAATCTTGATAAGTCATTTCTTTCTCTGGGTCCTTCCCCATCTATAAAATGAAAGGTATAGAAACAGATGGTTTCCAAGCTCCTTCTACTTTCAACAATGCATATTTTTTTAATGATCAGCAGAGAACTTGCTGTTCCATATGCTGAGGCAGTTGGCAAGGAAAAATGTGAATTTGTAGCTGCTGATCCCAGATGGGAAAGACAACTGTTTACCACGGCAGAACAACTGATTAGTCAGTCACCTGTGAGCTTTCCCCTTTGTGACCTGTACCAGAGACTGAGCAGATACCTGAACAGAGCACTAATAACAAAACAGCAAAGGCAGGACACTGACCTGAAAATAAGGCAGCAATGTGGAATCCTAGTCAAGCAGAATTTCTGTACTTGCTGGCCTCTGATGCCTGTAAATGGGGTACCACCAATACAAACTACTGTCCTTCTAGTCACAAAGAAAAGGAAAACTACAAGGTCCTCCTATGAACCAAATAACTCATAAAAACCAAGTACCAAAATATATAAAAAATGTAATTGGTTGATTTAATCCTAAAGATTGCAGAGACCTCTTGTGTCAGGCAGAGGACCAATGAAACAGACATTGTCTCTGGCCACCAGTGTATTCAAGGGTATATATAGGGTGCCATATCCCCGGGGCAGACTGTGATAAATGCTCTAGCATAGAGTCAGTCTCTGATGCAGAAGATGGGAAGGGGAGCAACTGATCTAGCAGGAGGATGAGAACCATCACCAAAAGGGAATATGAAACATGGGGCTTGAAAGATGGCAAAGAGAAGGGAATACAAGCTCAGACTGGAGCAGCAAATCAGGGACTATTTAAGGAACACAGACTAGTTTATTTTGACTAGGGTGCAGGGTGTAGGTTGGAAAAAAAAAGGGATCAAGGCAGAAAAATGATTTTGGGAAGAGAGATTATGGAGAGACTTCTTGAAAAACCAATGAAGTCGGGCTGGGGATTTAGCTCAGCGGTATAAGCTCCTGCCTTGCAAGCACATGGTCGTGAGTTTGATTCTTGGTACCGATTTTAAAAAAAACAACAAAACAAAACAATGAAGTCTGCAAAATTTCTGAGCAGAGATAGTATAACCCGATCAGAACAGTGTCTTAGATCACATGAACACTCATAAGAAGATACAAAAGGAAACATATTACAGAATTGCTGTAGGACCTCCTAGAAGGAGACCATGTACTTCCCACCTAGATGTGCACTGCAGTCTAATAGCTCTTATTTACAGGCTTCTCTCCTTTGTTTTAGCCTCATGAGAAGCGAGTTGCCATGCTCCAACTATCAAAATCTGCTAAGCATGTGGGTACAGAACTCCCAGACAGGTCAAGAGACTAGGATCATAAGAGAAAGAGCTGAGATGGAGCAGGAGGGTGGGAATACTGAAGTCTCCTGCTGGCTCAGTTCCATAAAAACCCAACTCTGGGTCTCCTTTTCACATGGCTTCACTTGGCAAAGCATAGTTAGCCAAAAGCACTGGGTGACGAATGAGGCTCTAGTAGGACCCTGGACACCAACTCTCCAACAGGTCAGCACCTGCTTGATCGGCAGTGGTCACTAAAGACTAGTCCCTTTCCTATCCTACAAGGTCAGTTCCACTTGTGAAGGCCAGTGAGGTTTCAAGGCCCAGATCAGATAAGCTCTTTCCCCAAAGCTTCTCTAAACTATCCTAGACCAAAATGACCTACTTTCTTAAAGTCACAGCAATCATGTACACACTACATGACAACTGAGCAGCTGAGTTAGATATAATCCTATTTCTCCTTCACAGTGATCCTATTATCCCATTTATATAGAGAGAAGAAATGAACTGAGAGGGGAGATGAGCTGTCCTAGGTAATACAACTGAGAGGTGGTAGAGCTGAGATCCCCAGAGTTGCCTCATTCCTGTCACCAGGTTGGCCTTCAGCCTTTCACTGCAATTTCTGCAAGTAGCCTGGAAGGTCTTTAAGGAGAGAACCTGCACCTGAAACTATTACCTCTCACCACTGGACAACCACCAGCACACAGCAGAACTTTTAAGTACTGTACTGTTCAATAAATGAAAACAGTTAACTTTAAACCAACACAGCACACACATTTTATAAATTCTCCACGTGAAAAACTTCCTGACGTTGGACTGTCTGTGCCTTGAGCCTTACCACAGCCTTGCCCTGACCTTCAGTTTGGACTGAGGCTCAAACCAGTTACGGGCTGACCTCCAACCTCAGACACAGACGAACTCTGTCTTGTCACAACACAAGTCCCAGCTGATCCTAGGCACAGGCTGAGCCCCTACTGGGACGCATGCTGCACCTTGGTCTTGGCACAGACAGGCCCCTGCCAACCAGCCACAGTGTACTGAGAACAGTACTAAAAGTGGGTCCCCTTCGGCTGTCCCTTAGCAGCACGACCGGGTCGTGACCCCCAGTCGCTCTTAAGGCCGCGAATGCTCCTTTCAGGTTCACGGACTCACTCCGCACCCCCAACCCGTCCTGCTCAAAGGGATGCGGAGCTGTCTTATTTTTACCTTGGCAGAGCACGGCGGGAACGGCGGCGCGCACCCGTACCTGCGAGTCTCTGTCGGGAACGCGGAAGAGGCGGAGCTAGACCTGAGGGGCGGGCCCGAGCAGAAAGGGGCGTGAGAGAGCGGAGTGGCGCCTGCGCACACAGGGGAGGCGGGGAGCAGACTGCGCAGGCGTACTAAAAGAGGGGAGGGAGCCTTTCGGCTCGGAGGCGGGGCCTGGCCTCACACTCCTTTCAGAGTGGTGGTAGGAGTTGGAAGGTAGGGAAGTGCCTGGAGGGCGTGTGCAGGGCAGAGCAGATGTGATAGGTATTTACTGAGCGCTTCTGCAAGCCAGGAAGAAATTTTAAAATGTCACTTGAATGCAAGGAAATGCTTCTACGTTTTTCTAAAACAGGGCTAATTCTGTAACATGTCTTTAAAGGTCTGGATGCCTACAATTTTCCATGAAAGTTTCAGTAAAATGTCTCCAGCTGTTCAAAATTTAAAACGAAAACAAAATTCTTTCAAAAATTTGGAGATAAACAACTGTAAATGGATAAATACATCAACCAGGTCCTTGCCCTACTCCCCAGGCTGTGGGTGCCACAAGAAGGAAGAACAGTCCTAGCTTGGATTTCATTCAGGTTCTTTGTGTGATGGACATGAAAATCCTTTCCCTACCTTATTCAGGCTTGTGGTGAGGGTCTGGTGAGCTATGCTACTTAAAAAGCTTCTTGAACTTTAATTCTCTGTTCCCCCTCTGGGCTGTACTCACCTGTATGATGGAAGGAGGTGAGGAGCCTTGAGGAACATTTGGGACTTTGCTGTATTTCCCAATCCAGATGAAGGAGTAGGAGATCTTCTCCCGAACTTCAGTGTTCAGTTCCTCCTGGAATCAGTCCAAGCTGAAGGCCCAGAATCTCTCACCTATCACCTTTCAGCTACTCAGGCAGGTTTCAAGCCCTCAGAGGACTTGTTTCCCTAACCATCTCTATAGCCAGCTGGTCATGACTCAATGATCTAATCCAGATTGCTGTGCTCCCCACATGGCAACCAAGTTCAGTTACCATCAGAGAAGGGCTGGAGGGTGGGGTTCAGAAGAAGGAAGGCCCCTCCGAAGCAGGTGAGACTCCAGCCTTGCTTGTGGCTCTTTCCACATCAGGTTTCATAGCTCCTTACGTAAGGTGGCAGCAGTGAATCTCAGGCTGTAGGGTTCATGGGAGCCAAAGGTGGTGGGATGTTCTTTACTAAACATGAGGATGATCTGCTCTAGGGAGAAGATGGCTTACTCCCTTGTTTGCTACTCCAAAGATTGTCATGGCTGATGAGCCACCAGGAAAAGAAAGTCTAGTTGGCTTCCCAGCCAAACTGTGACTAATTCCAATACGGTGCCTCTCCAAGGACCTTCTGGTAGGGTTTGCACTTTGGAGGGAGTAGCTATTTGATCACCAAGGACCCAGTTCTCTCTTTCTTAACTTCTCTGCAGTCCCCTCTGCATCTCTCAAAGTGATATCCATGTCAGCTTCCTGATGTATTTGTGGACATTGCTATGGAAGTTGTGATCCTTGGACCACATAGTTCTGAGGTAAATTTACTCTTGCCTTCAAGATGTGTTTCAAAATTACCTAGACGCCAGCACATGGACTTTCTAATAGTTTGTATTGCCCAGGGTTGGAGGAGGTAGTGAGATACAGTGGTGCCTTGGTTTAGGGATTTAATTTGTTTTACATTTTGGGGGAAGATGGTCGTGGTTGTGTTTGTCATCACATGCAGTGTTTGTGAACAGAAACAAAACTTAGCCAAATGCTTTTATTTGTGAACTGAGTTGTTTGCAAACAGAATTGTTTACGAACTCAGGTACTGCATTCTATATTTGTTATAGGAGATGTGTGACACCCTTTTAGAATGATGGACCTTGGGCCTTCTTTAGTTAGAAGGAGCAGCAGAATGAAGGGCAGAATGAATCTGGAGATCTCAGAGTAGTGAAAGGATGGAAAGATATTAGGGACTGAAAGGGGAGACAGGCAGCTGGCTAAAGACAAACTTGATTTGAGAAGCTTCTATATGCAAGTACTTATAACTATATCTGACCCATAGTGATCATTAGCCATTATTGTTATTATGAACAACTCAAAGGTTCCAAGTAGTGAATGAGAGATCAATCAGTCCACTTCTGATCATGAAATGGATGGGAAATTGAGGTCTACAGGTCAAAGGGATTTTGCATGGCACCTTGGGGGCTGGGCTGGGACTTGCACACAGGCCTTCAGCTCTCAGGAGACCCCTTGCACAAAAATATCTAGATATTTTACAGGGAGAGAGGAAACTTTAGGTGGGCTTTTGCTGACACTTAAGAACCAAACTCCTGTCGGGGAAGCTTGTGGATTGACTGTAGTGCAATGACAGCAAATCTGAGCCAGCAGTCTTAGATGTGGTCTAGAAAATAGGTTCAGGAGCTTTGTGTCCTACCTCTCATGCTTCAAGTTCTCTCCTGTAATTAGGGTTGGGATTATACTTTCACTCTGCCCCTTTACTCATTAGTTCCCCAAAACCAGCTTGATGAAGGGGATAGAGTGACTGACCATAGCTGGTGCCAGTTGAACTGAATTAGGATGCAAAGTTTCCTATCAGACTGAGTTCCTGGAAGACAAGGAGCAGCCCTTCCTTTCCCAAGGTTTCCTAGCCCAGCATGGGTTAGAATTCTCAGAACCCTGGGAGAATCTTAGTGTCCCCACCCTATGGATCTGAGCAAGGGCCAGACATGATCACACCAGCCAAACCTCCACATGGTCCAGGATCTCACAACAAAATCCCCCTAAGCTCCATTCTGCCCTAGATCCTTGTGGCACCCAGACCACAGCTTCTCACCAGTGACTGCTTTAGTTTACTTCTTTTATTTTACCAAAAATAACAACAATAAAGTCTTTCTTCTTTTTCACAAAAATAGATTCCCCCAACCTTTCCCCGCAATCAGCCCTTGCCACAGCCTAGAATCCATCGTGTAAGCCACAGCCAATGCTGGAGGAAGCTCCTACTCCCTTTACTTTGGAGCTGCTGGTAAAGTTGCCATGCCAGAATATGTCTCTTGGGAAATTCTTTGGAGCCGGCAGAGGCAGAAATCCCAGGCTCGGCTGGCAAGCCTTCAGTGGTTTCCCCAGAGGACAGGCAGTTTCTAGGCCATGAAAGGAACATGATTTTGGAGGGTTGGCTTGGCAGACAACCCCAGCCAATCCAAGAAAGTGTTATAGTTCTTGCCATCTGGCTAGAAATCTTTGCTTAAAGCAGAACAGTCGTGTCCTGGAGAAAACCTCTTTCCATATGCATCTCTGTGTAATAATCAATGAGCCCTGGGATGGGAGTCACAAACACTTGATTTTACTCCAGCTCCACAAGACTCATCCTCAGGATGGACAGTTTTTCTCCCTTTACCTGGCTTCAGTTTCCTCTGTTGTATATTGAGAAACTGAGACTGGATGATTCTCAGGGCCCTTCTGGTTCTCCATCCTAGCCTCTCAGTGTAGGTTCCAGGAGGGTAGAATCCTCTTCCTGCTTCAGTTCCCACACACATGGGTCTGGGCACAGGGCTGGGCATGGAAGTACTGAGTAATGGGCTGCTGATTGAACATCCCAGCCTCTCTGTGAATAGCTGTGTGGAGATCAGCCAGCTGACTGTCTCTGAGATGGTTGGGAAGAAGGCAAGTATTTTTAGGATAGGGGCTCTCCATAGCTACGTGATCCTCAGTGTCCTGGGATGGGAGACAAGATTCCACATACTTCCCAAGTCGAGTACCACTGGCGTTTTGGGCTGAAGGTTTATTTTGTGCTGGGCTTCAGAGCCTATGAGTCAGGCCTGTAGATTTGGGAGCTAAACAGGAGAACATGATTCCCAGTTTAAGAGACAGGAGATCTTCATGGACATAAAGGATCATCTTGAAGCTTAGAAGACTTATTATAGGGCTCCCCTAGAGACAGGGATGAGTGAAATGACAGATTGTTTAGCATCCTTGGCTGAAAAAATCAGAAATGTGGTTGGCCTGGGCTTTAAGGAACTCAGGTAAAGCTCCCCTTTCCAACTTCCACTTAGCACCCCAGGATTCATGCTGGTGGAAGATGGTTGTCTGAAAGGCTTACCTGTAGAACTACCTCTCCAACTGCATTTTATGTACTTACACATCTGGTCAGATACCCTGAGTGGGGATACTGGCCTGTCATTATTCCTATAGTGGTCATGGTCAAATAGTCCCAGTCTTTTTATACATCCAATGGTCCATCCATCCAATATCTGTGAAGGCCCATTTATGTGCCAGGGAGGGTCTGGCTTTCAGGCACACTCTAAGGTCAAAATCATGCTCACAGACACACTCACACTGGTGTCTGGGCTTACTCACACACAGGCACTCCTCTCTTGCACCTTTCTTGCCATTACCTCTGCCATACACACACTTCCCAAACAGGCCTGGGAACCAGCATGGAAGGGTCAAGTAATGGAAAAGAACCTGGTATCCCACCCCACTCCCAGACCTCTTGCCGGGGTTTTGATTCCTCCATTCCTTCTGTTTGCCACTTGAAGCCCTTTTCTTCTCCATTCATAGTCAGGGGGACACACAGACAGACTTCACAGCAAAAGAAGTCTGGAGGCACTGGGTATGCAAAGGAGTCCTGGAGCCTTCAGATTCTTCTATCACCAGAATCCCAAGAGTCTCCTCCACTAGCCATGCTGTGTTCAGATGGTCCAACAATGTCCAGGACTGGATTCAGTGACAGATGCGTTCTGTCATCTCCTTCTATAGAGACACAAGGTGTGGAAGAGTCAGCCTGACCTCAGTTTTACAGAAGCCCTTTCCCAAAGTACAGGGCCTAACTACTCTCCTGCCTGAGCCTGGTCCCTCCCACTCCTCCCCAATTCTAGGGTGCAGATCTGGGGTGTAAACTGACACTTGAGTGAATTTTCCACTGAAGTACACAATCCACTATTAAATGTTAATCCACTGGGATACTGGAGTTTTTTACAGCAGGTAGCCTTTGGGTCTGCAAACTCCCAGAAGCTACCCTTGGCAAGGAAGGGTTTGGTCTCACCAGTGGCTCCAGCTCCCGCTGGTCCACCAGGCTGAACTCTTGGATGAAGTAGTAGAAGTGCTTGTAGCAGGTGTTGACATGAGCCTCTGCCCCCATGCTGAGGATGCTGTCAAAGTGGTGGATGTAGACGTGGACGAAGACTCTGAAGAGCCTGGTTAGTATCTTGGTGCAAACTTGCTGGAAGTTCTTGGGGAAGGGAACTCCTAGGGGCCAGAGAGGGACAGACAGTGCAATCAACATCCTATAATGAAACTCAGTCCACCACTGCCTCCTCTATACAGGCAGCCTTCACACAGGGTAGTGCTGACCCATCTCTAAGCACATTTTCGTGTGGGGGAGAGGGAGAGAGGAGGGACAGAGAAAGAGAGGGAAAGGAAAAGGGAGAGAGACAGGCTGTGGGCCAGGGAGAGGGAGAGCGAGAGGGGGAGAAGAGTTTCTCTTTCTTTCATACTTTGCTTTTTAATGAATCATATATTTGACTGGTCTTTCCCCTGTCAAAATACAAATCATCTTCCACCTTTTCTACCCTTGGGCTTAGATCACCTTCTTAGACTATGATGGATTTTATGGCTCAAGCTCTCCCCAGAAATAGTGTACTGCAAGGATCACATCCATTCATACAATTCCAAAAGAAACCCACCAACATCTCGGTTTATTTTTAAGAACCTCGGACTGCAGGATTAAGTCCTAACTTCCCAGCATGGCATTAAAAGAGGCTTTTCATGACCTGATCCTGACCTCCCTCTCTAGCCCCACTGGGCGTCCCTTCTCTTTTCAACACTCATGCAGTGGGCCCCAAATGCCAAATGCTGATAATTATTAATTCTTGAGAATTTACTCAGACATTCCCTCATTCCTTCAAATAGTTAACAACACAAAGAAACTTCCAACTGTGAGTTCAGCCTTTGTTCCTTTGGCCTCTAAGTCTAATGATTCTGCTATGGGGCTGATAGTCATTCTAGGTGTGACAAAAGAGGGTGTGTGCAAAAGGGAAACTATTTGCCCAATGCCACATAATTATTAATCAGCTGAGACTGGAGTCAGGATTTGAATGGTCTTTTCACTACATTACTTTTCACTATACAACTGATCTAGCCTCTTTTGGACTCAGGCTCACTGTTAGGTAAGACAGTGCAGGATATGGCAGCTACGACCTGGGGAGAAGCCATGTCCACAGAATTGTGACTTGGTACCCAGCTTCCCTCAGCACACTGACATCTTCCCTCTGGGCTTGACCAGCTGACCCACTTTTCTGAGTCCCAGAGGTACAGCAAGGAAAAGCAGGAGGCAGGTGGGAGCCAGGGCCAGAGGTACAGGTTGGACTGTCCTGAATACATTATCAGTACTTGTTTTTTTGTTTGTTTTGGGGGCTTCTTTGGTATCAGGAACTGAACTCATGACCTCATCTTGACAGGCAGGCACTGTGCCACTGAGCTATATCCGCAGCCCCTGAACACATTATCATGCCTGCTCAGCTCGAGTGAGGAAGCAGGGCTGGGATGACATCACCTCTCCTCTCCTCCCTCACCCACTCAGGCTGCACAGTTGAGATTAAAAAAAAAAAAAGGCCCGTGACCTGCACCTGACAAGGAAAAATTGCCCTCAGTCTGAGTTAGATACCTTTGTCCCACTCAGTCTTCACACCCTTCCTTTTCCTGGGGCCAGGAATGGGAGAGAACTACCAGGAGGCTGGAAGTCAGGTCAGCATGAGCTGGTGTGGCTCGGAGTGGGATACTCATGCATTGGGTCAGAAGAGCCTCAAAGGCAAGTAAAACACTTAACCTGTCTCAGCTGCAGTTTCCTTTCCTACAATATGGCAAGGAAAATCTCCTGCTCTCTAAAGCTGCTCTATTAAACTAAATGCTGCATCTGTCCTTTGGTAGCTCCCACTCTTCCTGGCCAGGCAGACCCTCCAGCTAGGTGCACTCACCAACACGCGTGGGAAAGACGTCCTCATCATTAATGAGGCCCTCGATCCAGTCCATGAGCAATGCCATGTAGCGCGGTGCGGAGAGCTTAGCAGGCCTCCGGTACTGGTGCTCGTCCTGCCAGCGGTACTCATAGCGCGGTCCGCCGGCCATGACCGGGCAGCTGGTCTCGCTGCAGCGCTCCGCCATGGTGCCATAGATGAGGTTGATGCGGTTGAAGAAGTCCACCACGTGGACTGCGATCCAGTCATCGATGCTCTCACCAGGTGGTAGCCTCACCACACTGCGCAAGTCTAGGCCTGACTTGAGCGATGCCTGTGCTTTCTTGTACAGTTCAAAGCGCTGTGTGCCTGGCTCAAAGCGCTTTCGAGGCCTGAATGTCTTGTCCTTGGCAAACACCTGCTTCAGGCACAGTGCCATGTTCAGAACTGGTGGAGCTGGGTGTCCGGGGGCAGAGACCTCAGGATCCCCTGTCAGGGACAAAAGCAGGGGGTGTAGGTTGGTCAGGACCTCATCATATGGGTTTTGAGTTTCCAATACATCGCTTCTCTCTCACCTCTCTGCTTTAGATCAACCTCTGCCCTTTCAACCCGAATTTGAATTCCTCCTCCCTTAGGTCCAGTGTCCTAAGCACTTTCCAAGCTACATTAGCTCCTCCTACTGTGCCTTCAAAGAACTCCTTTCTCCTTTCAACGCGTCTCACCACTAGGGGGCTGGCCCAGGGCTCAAACAGCTGCTCCTCAGTCTTGCAAATTGTTACAAAGGTGGGAGAGGCTCCCGCAGGCCCACCTGGAGAAAGAGGTGTAGACAAGATAACTTTAGGAAGCCCTGTAAGCCAGCTGTGCAGTATGGTAAAGCTGGTTGCATTGTGCTTGTAGGGAGGAGGAAGGTCTTGGCTTTTGACTTCCTCTGGGATATCCCGTATCCATCCGGCCACCTGGGATTCCCAGGGAGAAGGAGGGACTTCTCTACCAAACATGTCCTTTCCTTTTTTTTTTTACTCTGAGAGGAAAGGGCTCTCACATGGCCAGCTGGATGGCCTCTGAGTGTTGCTGCAGGCACAGGAGGAGGGGGAGGGAGGCAGGCCAAGAGCACAGCTTCCTCTGACAACAGCTGAATGGTCTTCCTCCCAAGCCTTCATCTTGCAGCTCCAAATGTGAGTAAGTCACTGGCTGTCCCTCCGCACCGGACACTGGAAAGACATTCCTACCTTGCCTACTCTGCACCTGACATATAGGTGGGGGAGGGACAAGGAAGGGAGCCAAGCCTATCTACAGCTTTGTTTATATGGTCTCCTACAAGTGAAAGATCACAGACTCAGAATAGATTTTGGGAAGCAACAATCAGAGCCCCAGACATAGAAGCAAGAGTTCTGGGTTCTAGTACAGCTTCATCACTGGATGCTGGGTAACATTTATAGTGCCAGTGCACAAGCAAATACTGGGTCACTCTGATACAGCCAGCTTTTTGAATGTCTCAGAGCAGTCATCCATCTCTCCTGTGAATATCTAACACAGCAGGCAGGGCAGACCCAGGTATCTGCTGAGAATGGAGTGTAGCCACAAGCTACTCCCTGACCCTGTCCCAAGACTGAGTGCCAAGGCTGAGTGTAAGCTAAGCACTGAGCTGGTGTTCCAGGCTACACTCTAACTTGTGCTTTGACCCTGGTGAATCTGAGTTTTACTCTCGCCCCACACAGAGCCTTGACTTCAGACTGACATTGATACACTGAGCTCAGATCTCCTTTTCTGGAAGCAACTCACATCTGCTTAACTGATGGGCAGGACTGGGAAGGGGAGGGTAGGACAAGTGTCAACTAAGTATAATGAAAGGCATAGCACACATGGAGGGGATGCTGTTTCTGGCAATAAATCAAATTATAACAAATTTTGGCACAAGGGTCCTTCCTTATAATCACAACAGGCAGGCCAGGGCCAGAACAGTCAGGAAAAATGAAAGCTGTTTACAAAGCAGCAACAGGTCTCTTAGCAGGCCCTTGTCCTCTTGAAAAGAAAACTCAAAGATGCAGAAGGTTCTCTTTCATCCCTACTCCCTACTTCCTCTCAAAGAAAGGGTGGGACCTGAGTGCCCTGAATGAAAAGGAGATTTTCTATCCTTCACTTGCTGTCTCCATTTGATGCTCTGTTTTTACAGGTACTTTCCAAATCATTCACGCTGCAATTAGGTGGGGGTTCCCAGGTCCTTCACCATTACACAGCCCCCTTTGCTAACAATCCAGACTCTCATTCTGGCATTCAACACAACCCCCTACCTCTCCTGTGCTACTTCCTTACACCAGCTACGCTAGGCCTCTTCCTGACCCCTGAACACAGCCCCTCACTGCTGCCTGTGTATTTTCTCTCACTGGGCCTGACAACACTCCAACAGGTTCAATCTTCCCTCCTCCTGCAGCCTCCTCCAATGGGCTCTGATCACCTCCTTGTGTAAGGCTGGTGTTTGGATACTGCTGTTTCTACCCTATGACCACTTAGGTCAGAGGCTGGCACAGGCTTTAAAGGAAGCTTATACTCAAGAGTCTTACAACTGAAATAGCCCTGAGAAAAATCACAGCGCAGCCCACTTGTTCAAATGGGGAAATTGAAGCTCAGACAGGACAGGAAGCTGCAATCACATAGCAAGTTACAGGCAGAACTAGGAGCTGGGATAAGGAAGGGCTCAGCCCACGACAAGAGCTAAAGATCATTTCCCTGCACTAGCTGGTCACTGACCTGGTGCAGATAAGAGAGCAGAGTAGAGGGAGGGGGTCAGCAACTTCTTTCCAATCAGACCTACCTGCTTCCTGTCCCTAATACACTGACACCTCCTGGCACCCCTTACCCCCAGCAACTTGGGTATCTGCATTAGGGAGCTAGAGTCCCATCTTCATGCTGAGTCTTTTCCTAGGAAAATGTAAGCTTGGAAGTGGGTACAGGACAGGTGCCTTTCTATCCTTGTCTCATGGCTCTTCACTCCCACTTTTCTGCCCTGGTGAGCCTGTCTCTCACTGAACCTCCACCACTCTCCCCGATCCACTGTTTAGCCCCCATATTCTAGGGCTGACTGAATGGCCGGAGATTTGCTCATCCACTGCCTGCCTGTGCACCTGGGCTTCCCAAATGAAGACCATGCATTTGCTGACATTAAGCTCCCTGCCAGGGATACTCTTGCGGGCTCCTGGGCTTCACATAGGAGCTCAGCATGAAGATGGCCCCAGCTCGAGTTCAGAATCTGGCCTGGGACGTAGGACAGACCTATGAAAGCCAAGGCGAGGACTCCACGCTGTCCCTGCCGCTCACACCCACCCGAGGCTGCCCTTTAATCCCCACCCCCCACCCTCCGCTCTGCCACCAGCTGTCAGGGCCAAGCAGGGTGGAGGACCTGGAGGAGCCGGCTTGACGTTTCCGCTCCCAAAGACACGCCCCCCTCCGCACTGCCACCTCGTCCCGGCTTTCGCCGAGGTGAGCCTAGGACCTTGGGCCTCGGGGTCGCCAGCCTTCTCCCGCCCGGGTCGCCTTCCGGCGGTGCCACCCCGGGACCGCGGGAGAAATGAAAGTGGAAGCAGGGCCTGGCGGCGGGGGGCGCTCACTCGCGACGTGGCCTGGTGCGAAGCTCCAGTCTTCCGGCGGCCGGCCGCGCACGGTCAAGTCCTAGCGCGCTGCGGCGCCCTCCTCCCGGCCTCCTGCCCCGCGCCGGTGCGGCCCGCCAGCCCCGCCGGGCCGCGGCAGTCCTCCTGCCCGCCAGGGACAGCAGCTCCGCCCCGGGCCTCGCCACGCCGAGGCCGAGGAGCCAGGAGGGCGGGGAAAGGGACTCCCCCCACCCCGCTGCAAAGACACCACACCCCTCCTTTCCGGAAAGTCCATATCGGGCACCCCACTTCCCGTAGGGAAGGGGACTGACGGAGCAGCCAGCCCTTTTGCTGTCTCCTTGCACCTCAACTAAAGAGGCAGCCCCAGATTCTGTCTGGAGCAGAAACCAAAGGCCAGGGGTGGCCTTGTCCTCCTGGAATCACCTGCATCTCCTTCCTCTCAGAACTCAGTATGAAGTGGAGGCTCCCTATCACGCCCTCAGCTTCTCTCAGGGCACTTAGCAAACATTTAAAACCCCTTTGAATAAATGAGTGACGGAAGGAATGCGTGCTTGACAGTCAGAATCAGAGTCCCTCACCCTGAGAGGACTGCCCCATCCCCTACTACGGCTCAGTTTCTAGTGCTCAAATCCTACACTTCACAGGTCCATGGTGTGGAGGACCTTACTCTGGCTAGATCCATTCTCACTTGTCACCCAGAGTCATCCCACATCCACCTTTAGACCTTTATCTCAGCTGTTCACATCTTGGAAAGCTTTTCTTTGAACCAAATCCAAATCCTTCCAGACTTGATCAGCTCTGCCAACTTTTCTACCTGGAGTACTTCCCTGGGGACAGATAGCTCACACTAACCCTAACCCTAACTCAGTACAAGCTATGGCCTAGATCCAGAAACAAGTTGCCTGACTCTGTCTGGGCTGGGAGGGAAGACTGGAGGACCAAGGACCTAGTGGACCAAGGCAGACAGCTACTCTGCAGAAGTCCCTTAGAGAGGGGCTAGGAACTGAACACGTGTGGGTAGGAGAGTGCTGGAAGCTGCAGGTGGGCACTTACCATGGCACAGATGCCCTGATGGGATCCCCTCAAGTCTGGATCTGTTTGTTTGATGACATGAGAACACTTAGATCCCTAAGAATTCTAACTTGCCGAGCTTCTTTTGCCCAGAACTTAATTTTGCTTCTGCCTAAAGTTGTCTATATTTTATAGCTGTCTTAATCTACTTTGAATCCACTGTAAACAAACATCTGCATATGAAAGGATGTCAAATGTGCTCCTTCATTTAATTTAGTATTCTGAGTAATATTGGGATTAGATGATGAAGTTTATCATGTGTTGATAGGTCAGCATAGCACAAACACACAAACACACACATGTGCACAGGGTCAAAACTCATCTAGAAGTGAGAACATGGTTATGCACTAATGGCGGAGCGATTTGTAATAATGGGGCTATCTGCAGGAAATTCATGAAATACTGCAGGTGTGTATTTTGATGAGGATTTAATGAAGGCACTTTGTATAGGGATTAAAAAAAGGTGTAGGGAAACCATGAGGATAGTGTAACATCAAAAGGCAAGCAAGGGCAGTGGGCAGCTGTCAGTCTAGGTTGAAGGTACACAGTGAGTGAGGGTGGGAGTGAGAGATGCAGAGGGAACTACTGATGGTGCTGTGGCCTAGGAAGAGGGGTGTACCATCCCACAGCAGTTGTATGGAGGACTACTTTTCCTTCCCTTCCTCTGGCCACGGGTCCTCATTAGCTGAATCCAACCAGAAGGCAAGGATAGGGAAGTCTGTTGTCGCAGGTCACAGAGGTCAGCCTCTCAGACACAGGGTGGTGGGGAGGGTGGAGAGATCTGGAGAAGCAAATGAGTCAGGGCCAACTACACAGGGGAAATGACTTAGAAACTGTGTGTGCTTTCCTTATCATTCACTTCTAAATATTTCACAAATTTCATTGTAATTTCCTCTCTGACTCTGGATGATTTAGAAGTATGTTTTCAGTTTCTCAGTGTATGAGAGGTTTATGTTTTTCTTGTTGACTTTTACTTATATTGCATTGTGGTTAGAGCTCATGGTCTGGGAGAGCCTTTGGAATTTAACATGACTTCCTCAGTGGCTTTGTACGTGATCATTTTCTGTGCCTTGGAGCTGGGTTTTATAGTATGGGTAGGAATTTGTATGGTGGAGTGAAAAGCACAGAAGAGTGTTGTGGAAAATATGGGTGATCCATTTAGAAGGAATTTCAGAAGTTCCTGGCTCATCTGCACATCCCCATTGTCTTTGGGGTGGGAGGCAGGCATAAGGGTAGGGGGATCCAAAAAAGCCCAGATCCTTCAAATACTTTGCTGCTGCTCTCAGTCTGGTCTGAGCAAGACAGTTTGTGTGTTTTTTAAGAGACTGCTGGGGCTGAGAAGACCCAGACCTTGGAGAAAAAAATGCTCACTTTACCATGTATTTACTGTGACCTTTGGTTAGTCCTGTCTTCTCTGATGGCACACTATGACCCTACAGTACTGCACGCCTACATAGGACAGACTGTTCCCTGGGTGTGATACGTGGGTCAGAAGGCTCAAACAAGGCTCGTGTCTGTAGGTGGTTGGGAATCAGTGAGGACCTAGGAGAGTATGTACCCCGCTTCACCATATAGCTCAGGCACTTGCCTGCCCTATTGGAGTTTCAAGTGGTAACACTATGGCATCCAAGGCTGTAAACCTGAACTCCTGCTCTGGATCTGTTACTCCTCTGATGTGTCTCTGGGAAAACCTCTGCCCCTTTCTGGATCTCAGTTTCTGCACTGTACCGCACAAAAGCATCTTCTAGTCATACCAAGTACCTTATCAGAACCAGCTTTCAGTTCTTCTCCTCTGGGCCTGTATCAAGTGACCCTATGTATACAAAGTGGCCTCTCCCTGGGGACTCTCCCTCCCATGCCAAGAAAGGTTCCCCATACCTTCACTCCTCCCAGAATCCCCAGTTCATCTCATTGCATATCTACCATAGCTTTTAGGGCCTGATCTCTCCTTACTTTCATCCAAAAAGAGCTTATGCTTCAGCTTTTGCCATTTTTTGCCTAAAAGGCAGGATCTACCATCTACAATCTTCCATCCCAGCCCACTGAGGAGAAGGCATGGCAGTAAGAGGAACCAAGATGAGACTCCTTGTAGTATGAAGAAGACAAGGCTCAAGAGAATAGGGTAAGCCAAAGTGGATAAGGATGTGTGTAAAACTTTGCTGTGACTTTGGGCAAGTTACGTATCCTTTTTGAGCCTATTTCCCCTTCTCATTAGAAACAACATCTGCCTCCACAGAAGGGCCATGAGGATTGAATGTCATAGTCCTTGTAAACAGCAGAAGGTGGTGACCAGTCTGTTTCAGAGGTGCTGCTTTCAATCACCCAAACAGTATTGGTGTAGCATAGGGGTTGAGTTTATTGTAAGGTTCTGAATGGCACTAGCTGAGACCCAGGACAACAGGATCTCACAGCCTCAGTGGTGTTGGTCTTTCTTAGGAGAAAGTTGTGCAAGCAGAAGCGGTACAGCCCCCTGAGAAGTGGTGTTTAGTAGGCTCAGTTCCTCTGAAGCATAAAAGGTCCCTGTGCCTTTGGGAACCTCAGACTCTTGTATTCTCTGCATCCTCCTGCTTCTCGGCTTTCCCTGTGACATGGAGGCATTGCCCACATTTCTCCAAGGTTAGTCTCTTCCATCTTGGGAAGGAGACTCCTGGAGGTTCTGACAGAAGCCTGGTGTGTACAAATAAGTACCTTAAGGCCATTTCAGAGCCTCAGAAAGGACCTTCAGCATGCCTCTGGTTGACATTGTTTCTTCCATCCATGGGTTTTTCCGCTGGCACAGGCGCACTCCAAGAGTGGAGGTGATACTTGGGGAGTGGATTTTACTACTTTCCTGGGCTTAGCCTTCTATGGGACTCATCATGAAGCCTGCACAGAAAGTTCTGCCTAAAGCTACCCCTTCCTATGCTGCTGTGGTCCCTCAATTTCAACCTGTGGGACGGAGTGCCTGGAGCACCTGCTCCAGTCCCTATGGTATTTTCTTCCTTCCTCTCTCCAAGTGTGCTCAGTAACACATACCTTGAAGTCACCAGCAGAGATGGTGGGAAGTTCTAAGCATCTGGTGTACAATCTCTAGTAATAACTGTAGGAGATTAGTATGGTTTTAATATCTTAGACAGTGTGGTGCCCTAAGCATTGCACATCTGTTTCTTTCTTTCATCCATTCATTTGACAAATATTTACTGAGGGTTTATCAGGTGACAGGTACTGTGTTTTAGTCGGGAGCATCCTTGTCCTTGACAAAAGCCTCAGTCTTATGAGGACCGTCCACTAGTTTAGGGTCTAGTGCAGAAGACTGAGGGGCAAAATGGATATTGATGAGCAACAAGTCAAGGACAGGGTGGGTCTTGGAAGGAAGGGCTTTGGATATTACTTAGTCTAATATCCTGGAAGTACATGGGGAAAAGTTAGGCACAGGGAGAGTGGGAGATTGGCCTAATGCTAAATCATTATAAAAATCTTCAGTGAACTTTCTATACCTTGCTTGAGACGCACATGGGAATTCTCATTTCTTCCTCTCAGCAAACTTGGAGTGGAGGGGAAGGATGGAGATTTATTTTTCTAGAGCTTTAAAGTTATCTTCTCTTCAGAGTGAGAGATGGAGAAGCAGGAAACAGGGACAGCTTCACCAAGTGGGAAGTAGGGACTGGACTTGTCAGGATGAGGTTTAACTCTGCCCTGCAGTTTTTTCTGGGTCCCATTCTGGCTTCATTTCTGGGAGATGGGAAAGTTGTGTCTGCTGTAGCTGGCCAACAAATATTCAGGCAGTGGGTGGGGTTCACTTCTTAGTGAAGAATCACACTGTGTCCCAAAGAATCTGGATTCCACACAAGTCCTCATGACTGTGGGGAGTAACACTTGACTCCTTGCAGTTGTTATCCAGTTTGTCCTCCAGCAGAATTGGAAGCTTTTCAAAAAGCAGCTGGGGATGCTCCATTTTGCCCAAGGCTGAATGGTCTTAAAGGTGTGCTCATTTTTTCTGAGTCTACTTAAATGACCCCAGGTACCTGGAATCTGCCCTCCTCAGGCAAAGTCCTGCATACAGAGTTCCCTGTGCTTTGCAGGTGTGTGCCTTGGTTAAGCCTATGGATGTTTTTGTTTTCCCCTTGTATTGTGAGCCCTTAAAA